TAAAAAAATCTAAAAATTTTTGGATAGTTTTTCGTTTGAAGTCTTTCTAAATATAGTTAAGTTTTTTGCTCTTTTGAAGAAGCTTAAAAGTCAAAATTGCGCGTATTATAACGTTTGGACCACTGCCAGCCCCATTTTCTCAGCGTTCAAGATATATAGGGTAGGAAAAAACTGTGCTCGCACCCGAATCTGGCGCAATTTTTGGGATTTTCTAGGAAGATACGGTAGTAGAAAAGTATAATATTTACAACTACTGATTTTGCCCTCCCACTACCTTTAAAATGATCTATGGCTACGCATCGCAATTCTCCGCCCATCCCCCTTGCTCTCACCATGCACACACACAACCACCCTGGCAATGCGGGGCGGGTGGGGCTCGCGCCCCGTTCGCCTGAAAAAAGTCGCAGCAGAGTGGCAGGGAGTGAGAGAAAGCGAGAGAAAGAGAGCGATAGAGGGAGAGAGAGAACAGGGAAATATACCTCCAAGAGAGCGACAGGGAACTAGAGAGCGCTAGAAGTTCAGAGACAACAGTCGACAGGGGGGCTTCCGAGAGCTCTAAAAACCTGAGAGAACCCAGAGATTTTCCATAGCTAACAAGCTTGAGGGCGAGAGAGTGTGTAGTAACAGAGAGACCAGACGAGAGGGAGGGTTAGAGAGACAGAGAGGGAGGGAGAGAGGCAGAGAGAGTGCGGGAGAGGCGCAAGGAGGGGCGTGGGAATCTGGGCATGAGAGAGAGAGAGAGAGAGAGAGAGAGAGAGATAAATACAGCCATTCCCCCACATAGAGAGAGAGACTGACTGCCCCTAGCGCCCCTCGGGAAGACGAACCTTTTGCCCCGGATTCGGCGGCCCGCCACTGACTGGCTAACACCCCGCCCCTTCTCGTCCATTTTCTACAATTTTTTAGGGTTTGTAACGACTAGTTATTTATACATTAATTTTTCACTGAACCTCAGGTTTCCTAAGTCAGAGAATTTACGCAAGACGCAATAAAGATATTCAAGATTTTTTAGGGTAACCAGAACGTTTTGCGAGATTTTTCTGCGGGTATATTGGGCGAATTCTGCAATTTCAACAATTACTTTATAGTGGGTTTAAATGGCTTTGACGACTTCTAGCAACTAACCATAAAACGTGGCAAAAATTGCAGCTTTTGAGTTTTGGATTTTGAGGGCTAAGTTGCATTTTTGTTCCTGAAAAGCCCAAATTTATATAACGCATGGCTTGCTGTCATTTTAGAAAACAGGATAGACGCAAAAGAGTTGTTCACCAAACAGATTATTTGTTCCAGGGCACATAAACAATTTTTTCCGGGAAAAAGGCGACTTCTGGCCTCGAAAACGGTTCAAATTTGCATAGGACCAGCTCGGAAACAGGCCGAGAAACCGGCGAAAATAATTAAAAAGCCATTTAAGTGTTGCAGAAGACCTTTTTTTGTGAAAATTTTACTTAAATAGAAATCCAAGTTTAAATTTGCAAATTCAAACATTTTTCAAAATATTGCCAAGTTCTAAGGTGTTTTCGAATACTTAAACTTTATTACTTGGGCAAAGGAGCAAACGGGGAAGTGAAAAAGTGTAAGAAAAGAGCGGTCGAAAGCCATTAAAAGGATTGTTTATGTGCGCGGGATTTTAAAACTTGTAGTTTGTCGTTTACAAAAAAGTGTTTACTTTACAAAGTCATAAAACTCGGATGCAAATTGCTTGAAATTAACAAAAATGGAAATTGGCATCCGGCCAAAATTCGTGCAAATAGCAGAAATTAGAAAATTTTGAAGTTCTTTTAAGTTTTATTTTTTGGGATAATTAAAAACCTTTAAATGCTATTTAAATTCAAGGGAAAATACGCAAATTACTTTTAGACCTAAAAAAGAGCTTCGCTGAAGAAAATGCCCTATAATGCCGAAAAAGCCGAAATCGACAAATCCTTTTTAGAAATTTTCGAAAACGGCTTACAATTAGTTTACATAATTTTGGAAATACCGTAATCCATTTCATCAAATTTTAAGAACTTACTGGATTCTAAAAACAATTGAAAAAGCCCGGATGCAGCAGAAAAAATGCGCAAAAAATAGATCTGGATTTTTGAGGCTTTTAAAAGTACCGTAACCCCCTCTTAAGGTATTTTAGAAAAAGCTTAATTTAATAGTAATGCAAAAATAAGGAAAACACCAAATAAAAACTCCAAAAATTAAAAAAACCAACCTGTAAACTCGACAAGACCGGGTTTTTCAGCTTTTGGGCGAAATCAAAGGCGGCGCGTTTCAGGGTGTAGCTAAAAATCGTGTTTTAAAATACGGTACGTTAACTATAATATATAAAGCCCAGGAAAATATATATCTAGGTGGGGGAATTGTGGAAAGGGGGCGGCTGAGAGTGTGGGTGGGTGGGGGGGAGATCGATGGAGGGGGCGGGGCTTCGAATAGGGACCGCCCACTTTTCCTTACCCCGTCTATAGCACACACACGCAAACAGACAGACAAACAGAGAGACAGAGAGACAGAGAGACAGACAGACACCCCTCTCTCTCTACACCACCGGCCAAACAATTGGCACATGGCCAAAGAGGGCGGAGAGAGAGGGGAGAGGGGGTTAGAGATGGAGAGACAGAGATGGATAGAGACAGGCCCGTACGAGGGGGGCACCGGGGGCACGGTGCCCCCGAAATCGGTCGAGGTCCGAAAAGTTCATAAGGTAAGTTATGATTTTTTTCGCAAAAATTTTTCTGCCTGCGGCGCTGTTTATCACTGTTTTGAAACGATTTTTACTTCTAGAAAACCTACTTTTCTAAATTTTTTTGCCTGCGGCGCTCGTTTTCATTAGTGCACCATTTTTCCTGAGCAAAATTTCGCTTGTGCGCGCCGTTTCCGTTGTGTTTTCACACGAATTTAAGCGTTACAAACGCGGTTTTTTAAATTTTTTCGCCTGCGGCGCTCTTATTGTTGCTATTTTGGCATGTTTTGAAAATGGTGACCGGGGGGGGTGTCTCCACACCCTTTTTTGGGGTTTTGCGGAACGGATCATATTTGGCGAGGAGAGCTAGAGTGAGAGCGAGAGAGAGAGAGAGAGAAAACGAATAAGGATATAGGAGAAAAGCACAAATAATACGGAAATTTTCCCAGCACTTCCCAAATTTCCCAAATTGTCTCTCTCGGCTTGCCCTTCTCAAGGAATCGCTACTAGCCTGTCTGCTAACAAAAAGAATATCTGTGAGCTTGCCCTTCCCAAATGGTCTCTGCTAGCTTGCCCCTTCTCCCGGAATCTCTGCCAGCTTGCCTTCTCCAATAATCTCTGCTAGCCGGCCTAACACAAAATTCATGCTCAACAGTGCTCTTCAATATTTGAGTCTGAGGGTATGGCGAGAGAAATATCGTGAGAGGCAGAGAGAGAGAGAGAGAGCGAGAGAGAAGAGAGAGAACGAGAGAGAGAACCCAAGTTTGGACATAGATACAGCCTTACAGATAATTCATTCTTACGATGGCTATCCGATGATTGGTCAGGTAGTAATTTGTAGTGACGGATAGTGACAGGCGGACAGACAGACAGACATGCCACATACTCATACAGACATACAGACAGACACATTCCCATCATCAACCTATCAGCCTACCTACCCACTTGAAGAGGTAGCTGCAAAAAGGAAGATGAAACACTGTTTATAAGTATCTCTCTCGTTTTTTTGTATCGCAAAGAACGAACATTTGACCGGAAGTGGAGAGAGAGTGAGAGAGAAACGAGAGATATAGAGAGAGAGAGAGAGAGAGAGAGAGAGAGAGAGGGAGAAGCCGAGAAACGCTACTTTCCCTGCTAGCCCGTACAGAATTCCCAAAGGATCCCTGCTAGCCCGCCATGAATTCCCAAATGATCTCTGCTAGCCGGTCCGCCTGGTGTGGCATCCCGAGACGGCCAGAATTTCACAACCCCGACAAACTCCGCCCAGATTTCTTTCACTAGAAAATGCAAAAAATGGAGGAGGGGTGATCGGAGCCACTGCACTGACTCATTCAAAACAGCCAGATCGGATCACATTTTCAACACCATCTTTATTTGCTGGAAATTCCTGGGTTCCCACCAGATTCGTAACGGGCAAGAAAAAAAGGGATTAAAAAAATCATATTTCGAAGGAAGATGTGCGATTTGGAATATCGAGGGCGAGCGAGAGAGAGCGAGAGAGATCCAGAGACAGGTCCTCTACCGTGCATTAATGATATTCCACACGGGATCCGTTATTGGCTTACGACATGAAATTCGTACATCCCCCATTTTTGGCTCCCAGCAATCCCAAGCTTTCTCTAGCGGCTTGTAGCACTAATTCCGCATAAGACTTGGCTATTCCGGGAACGTGCTGTCTCATCCCTAGCTCCGAAATCCATCTTCTGGTAATTTGTAGTCACCCAAAAAAAAAGCGCCCATCAAATCTCCCCCTCTTCCGGCTTAATAAATTGAGCCCCACCAGTTTACCTGACACGTACACGGCCATAAATTTGGAACCATGTTTTGGGAATTCAATTTGGGTACCAGGGATAGAAAATGACGCAAAAATAGATAGCAAAAATAGGAAAATACACTATATAATACAATACAGCAATTTTGAGAAGCTAAGACGAAAAAATGTTCAAATGGTATGGATCGCCATAAACGGTTTTGTTTCATTGGTTGAAAGCTAGAATTCATTTTGTCATAAATTAGAGTGCCGAAATTCAGTATATGCAAAAATCGATTTTGTCGAAATTTTCGATAAAATGAATGTCAACAAAACGAATTTCGACAGACTGCTTGCAAATCTCACAAAGGCAGCTTGAAGCTCGGAAAAGGACAATTTTCATAAGAGAGCCGTTTAGAAAATCAAATTTGCATAATTAGTGCGAATGAATTATAATGAAAGTTGGAAGAATCGGAAAACGCTGACAAAGTGCCCTATTCTCCATCACTCACCCCTCCAAAAATGGTAAGTTTAGCTTCGAGCTACATGACCCAACCCCCGAAAAAATAGGCGCAAAAGATGCGCGCGCGTACGATGCGCTCCCTGCGCTCGCTGACGTCGCGGAGCAGCACGCGGAAGACTAGTGACGGGACGGCCGGCGGCACCGGATCGCGACGCCCCACGCAACGCGACGAGATTGACGACGCGTAGGGTGTACGGTAGCGTACTGATTGCTGCCGTGGTTTAGGGTGAAGCTGAACTTCCAGCAGACGGGCAGCGGCTCGGGCCGCGCGAGGGCGCCGCCAAGTAGGAAAACCGTACTGTGACGTACCGTAACGTATTGTAGCGTACTCGGCCCTCCCTCAACTCGTGTGGCTGAACGTGTTCGTCTCGTTCACCTACATTTGGCACGTGCTGAAGGTGGCGCTGTGGGTCCGGTTCGTCGTCGCCGTGTTGCCATCGGAAGATAGTACGTCTACCTAAAGGGTTTCTGCTAGCTTGCCTTTCTCAAAAATCTCTGCTAGCCTGCCGTTTCAGACATCGAGCTCCCGCCGACGGACGGCTTGAAGAAGTGCTGCTCCCGGGCCGTCGGCATCCTCAGCACCGTGCTCGTCATCCTCTGCTGCCTCCAGTTTGTCCAGGTCTCTCTCTCTCACTCGCTCTCTCTCTCTCTCTCTCTCTCTCTCTCTCGGTTTAACCCTGAACTCCTTGCAGATCGTGATGGTGATGATCACGACTATTCGCCGTTCCGTGGAGACGATGAAGCTCAGCCTGCTCACCCAGGTGTTTGTCATCTACGTCGACCTGGTGTTGGCCCTCATCTGCACCACGTACGCGCTCCGGAAATGCTATAGTAAGTTGGTTCTCATGCTCGGTTTCATGCTCTGTTTCTCTCTCTCCCTTTCTCTCTCTCTCTCTCTCTCTCTCTCTCTCTCTCTCTCTCTGTGTTCCTCTTTACAGCCCTCTACTGGCCGACCGTCGTCGCGTGGATCCAGCTTGTCCCGTCGATCGTCTGGGCCGTCTACGTGAGCACGTGGTTTGGCCATGTCGAGGCGATTTGCTACAAGATCCGGTATCCCTGGTATCACCCTCCCTTTAATCCGGATCTACAGTAACCCGTCGATGCACATTGAAGACTACCTGAGCCTCGGCACGCACAAGGAGACGGCCTCCGGCACGCAGGTCGGTTCTGGGCTGTTAGCGGGGGGGGTGTTTGGAAATCCGCCTAGCCAACACCCCCGTTAACGGTCTAGTACCTAAAATCGTTTTCCAGCCCTCCGACACGAGCACGAAGCAGAAGGAGACGTCGTCGTCGCGCAAGACGCAACGCGTCGTCGACGAGACCAAAAAGGAGAAATAGGACCCCCGGCAGCAGCTACGCGACGATACGTCGGTGCCCCCCCGCGTACACCACCCAATCGATCCCACGATTTTTTCGACTGTTCTCGCTTGTATGCTAATTTCTTTGTGATGCCCCAACTGCGGCGTTGGGGGAATAAATGTGAGAAGTGGATTTCACGACAATTTGCATAGCCCGAAAATTTGGATAAAAATCAACTTCAGCTACGCCGATGGAGAGCTTTGGATGCAAATTTGCATTTTTTTGGATCATTGCCAAACACGGCAATATCGAATTTGCGGTTTTTAAATTTTGCGATTCGCATAATTTGCATAATATCCATAAAAACTTCAATATTTATTGCACGTTAACCATTTCAAAGTCTCAAACAAACCTCTAGAAATTTACATAAAAATCAGATTCCGAAAAAAATTAAGTGAAAAGATGGGGGCTGGGAATTTCTTGAAATTTACACAAAACTAAAAAGATATAAATATGGGTACCGTAGCAAAATTAGCATATTTAGAGAAAACGAAAATAATATAGAAAAAATGTATCACATTTCAGGTAGGGGCACGAAATAGACAGCGTGGTGGACACTCGGGGGAGACTAGGGGGAGGAGCGCGGCGGGGCAGTTTGAGTCTGGTCGTTCGGGGGCTTAGGCTTTGGCTTAGCTTAGGCTTAGCTTAGGCTTAGGCTTAGCTTAGGCTTAGCTTAGGCTTAGGCTTAGGCTTAGCTTAGAAAGTTAACAAAGTTTTTTCATTAAAGTTTTAGCGCAATAAAAGTCTCAGAAAAAATAATTTGAATCCCGAGTCACGGTCAGGTCAAGGCAATCGGCTGGCACATTGGGTTTGTAGAGGGGGGTTACGGTAGCGGGGCAGGTTTTAGAGAATAGAGAATTACGGTATAAAGGTACGGTAGCTTTAAAGGGACTGGTAAGTAAGTCTACATATTCATAATCAGACGATGCTTCTCCTCCAGCGACATGTCGACGGCGGAGCGCTGGTTCCGTCGGTTGTTCCGCAGACGCTCGCGGGCTTCCTAAAAATTATTTTATGATTTTTGCAGTGGATTTTCTGGTTTTCTAATTTGGAGGTTTTGTGATCACCTTGGCGTTGAGGTTGAAGATGTCGTTGAACGGGTCGGCGAGGGCGCCCTTGCCGATGGCCGGTGGACCATCGTTGTATTGGTGGTGGTGGCCGTTCGTTGGAGGGGCCGGGTTGTACGGGGTGTACGCACCATTGTGGGAAGAGTCTGGAAATGGAGGAATTTCTCTCTCTCTTTCTCTCTCTCTCTTTCTCTCTTTCTCTCTCTGTCTGTCTCTCTCTCTCTCTCTCTCTCGCGCGCGCCTTCTATAACTCACCAGAATGACCGTATCCCGAGGAATTCTGGCTGAGCGGCGACGTCTGTGGCGGCGTGATCACCGGCGGGTTGTAGGTCTGGAAAAATTCAACTTATTTTTCAGCCAATTTAAATTCGAAAATCCACTCGCTAACACGGCCACAGCTAGACTAGCAATCGTTAAATTAATGTAGCGACTAGCATTTTAACTAATTAGCATATCTAAGAGTTAGGAAACGAATTTTGGGGGTTTGGCGTTGAAGAACACTGAATTTTAGGTCAATTTCCATGAAATAAAAAGTGGATTTTGTGGTGCAAAAAATAATTTGGCTTTGGATTAGTAGAGTTATTAACAAAAAAATACATTTATATGCTTCATCTCACACTCAAAAACTTAAAACTTTGGTACCCTTAGAAGTCGCAAATTTTGCCTTTTAAAGGGGCTGGGAAAAATTGGATGGAAGACTCGCTAAGACTAACAAAATAAAATCAGGAATTTATGGATTTATTTAATTTAATGAGTTTCAGCAAAATTTCCTAAAAATTCGGGTTGCAAAAAATTATAAAATCGCGAATCTTTGGTATTTTTTCAACTTTAAAATTCCTAAAAGAACTAAGTACAAATTTTTTAATTTCCTGAATTGTTAAGTTATTCAATTAGGTCCAAAAATATTTTTTGGCTTTGGAATCTTCAAGATAATCAGATCGGGCTTTGAATTTTCGGAATCTGATTTGCAATTTTCGAAATATGCAAATTAACCTATCCGTCGGTTCCCGGATCCTTTAAAACCAAAAAGCAACTAAAAAAAAGACACAAATAAACCAAAAAGCACACCACTTCCTCAACGACATGCTGGTGCTGCTCAACAGGCTCAACGTGGACAGCATGTTGCGGCACGGTATCGACAGCAGTCGAGGTTACGGTGGCCTGAGTGGTGATGGGGATGGCGGCGAAGACGGCATCGAGGATATCATCACCAAGCGGTTCAGGCACCACTCCGATTGACGGCCTGCTACTGTCGATGGTATCGTGGCGTACTGGCGGGGCCTCCGGGAGTGGCAATGGGTGCTCCTCGTACACCGACGCGATCACTTCTTGTGTCATTCTGCGAGCTACGGTCTCCGCCTCGGCCTCGGTGATCGTCTCCTGAACACGGCACGCTACGGTATTAGTGAGGCAAATTATAGAACCTAAAAATTAATTATTTTATCTATTAAAATTGGAATTTTTACCAGATTTTATGTCAATTTTTACACTTAACAATAGTTTTCCGGCTAAAAAAGCTTTTAGAAATCTTTCAATTTTAATTATTTAGTTTTATTATGTTTTATTAACTTTTACAACAATTTTTAGCCGAATTATTGCAATCCGAACGTTATTTCGTGTAATTAGTACGGTGCACTCCAAACGACACTCTAAATACTGTGCGGAACACGGTAAAATCAAAATTAAAAAGGACAATTTTGGTAGCTTTTCAACTTAAATTTTTCAAGCATTTGAAGCCAAGCTCGCGAAGCCAACTTAGAAAACTTAAAAATAGTTTAGAAAGCGCAAGCTAAACGCAAAACGGAACGCAAAAATTTGCTACTTTTTCCCGGGGCCACTGTCGATAGGTGTGCGCGTCCTGGTTGACCAGAATGCTCTGAAAAATCGAAAAATCGCATGCTTGGGGCGCTATTTGCATAAGAGGAGACGGTAGTAACAGTAGAATACGGTGGATTTTTTGCTTTTTGGAAATTGCAACGCAATAGGGCAGGTGATGCATGCAAATTCGGTGGAAAGCAAAGAACCGATTTTGCCTTGTTGTTTCCTTTAAATGCTTCAAATAAGAGATAATTCTACTATTCTTAGAGTGTACTCTAAACTACGATACGCTACGTGGCGCTACGTAAGGTTACGCCAGGTTACGCAAGGCTAGGATAGGCTACGATATGCTACGCGAGGATACCCTAGGATGCGCCAGAATACTTTTGAATACGCTGGGCTACAGTAGGCTACGATAAGATACGTGACGCTGCGCAATGGCAAGCCAGGCCACATTACGCTACGTGACTCTAGCCAAGGATTCGTTAGGCTACGCTACGGTACGCCGTGCTGGACTACGGGGGACTACGTAAGGCTACGCCACGCTCCAAATTCCCTCGGGTGTAACCTACGTGTGGCGGGATGACGGTGGAGGGGGCGTGGCTTCGGTGCGCGGGGAAATCCTCGACGTACGAGAAGCTGTACTCCTCCCGGTTCTCCTTGTACCAGCTGCAAAAAAAATCTGTTGCTTTTTGACGCTTGTCGTTTGTAGTTTGTAACCTGTAGCCTAAGGATTAAAAATTTCACCCACCTATTTTAAATTTTCGCCAATTTCTAAAGCGCATTTTAGAATTTTTAGGTTATCGGATTTTCAAAGCTCGTGGAGTGACTATTTAACGGTAGCTTTTATTGAGGAATTTGTAGCTTGTAGCCAATACCTTCTATCCTCAATTAAAATCGCATAAATATACGAAAACTTATGGCTTCCCGGTCCCTTTAAAAAATTTTAGAACTCTTTTAGACCCGAAATTCCGTTACACACCTATCGACATCCTCGCTGGCGACCAAAAGCTGAGTATGGACTGGGGAGCGTTTGATAAGGGTGACGACGTCCTGAAAAGTTAGAAATCAGCAGAAAATCGATCGATAGTTAGCAGAATTCGCATAAATCGTTAATAAGCCGATACCTTGTGCTGGGTGCTGGGGTAGATCAGCTCGCCGTTGACTCCAACGATGCGCTGCCCAGTTTGGAGGCCCGCCTGGAAAATTTGCATAATTTGCATGTGTATGAATTTTTAGGGGGGAATAAATTTCCTTTGGGCTATAGATTTCTGCCTTCTAGGTGCCTTTAAAATACGAACCCGGTCTCCAATACCGCCCGGGTCGACCGTCCCAATAAAATGGCCGCGTCCCTTCTCGGCGTGGAGGTTGAAGCCGAACTCGTCGTTGGGCGACGATTTTTGCTGAAAAAATTAGTTATTTACAATTATTTACAATTATCAAATTTATTTGTGGCTTGAAATCCTATAAATCATAGTTTTAGCTTTTTAGAATTTTTAACACAGGTTTTTAGACTTTTCTAACTCACCAATTCACAAAGACGCGGTCTCGGCTTCATCCCGTCGTGATGAGTAGTGGTCTGGAAAGATTTTTTAGACCTTTCAAGCCATGCTGAGACATGGAACATTTTAAGATTAAAAAATATTTTTGCAAGCAGCAAAAAATCAATAAAAATTCCCTAGGGGGCTGCTTCAAAAATTAATATTCTGGCGCGAGAGAGCGAGAGAGAGCGAGTGAGAGAGAGAGACCTTTTTTGGCAAATCAAACATAGACCGATTTGGGTGGAGGCTGGCCGGAGGGGCATTGAAAGGGATAGTGTTTGGGCAAATATTGCCCCCTTTTTGCATGCATATATTTTTTGGAGGAGGGCGTAGGCAAAAGGGGGAGAGGCAAACCGGCAGAGATATTTAGGGAATCGGCGGGCATTAATAGAGCATTAAACAAATTCAGCGAAAATCAGTAAAAATGCCAAATTTACGAAAAACTCCAAAATCGGGTTTGGGCAAGCTAGCAGAGATCATTGGGGGGGGGGGGGATTGATGGAAGACTAGCAGAGAGCGCTTAGGAATCGAGGGCAAGAGAGCGGGTATAGCGGGTAAGGCCATTTAGGAATTCTAGGTAATCTAGCAAAGACCATTGAGGAAGTTGAGGCAGACAAGCAGAGATCATTTGGAAATCGGACTAGCAGAGATCATTCAAGAATTGCTGGTGAGCTAGCAAAGATCATTTAAGCATATAGGCAAGCTAGCAAAGACCATTCGGGAATTCGCGGGAGGCATGCAGAGTTCCTTTAGGAATCCAACGCAAAATTTCTGCTCCCAAATTTCCGTTTTCTCGAACACCCGCTGCACCAGAGCATACCCCAAAATATTCGAACATCATCAAAGGGGCGAGAGAGTGGGGAGAGAGATAGGGCGAGAGAGAGAGCGTGATAGTGAGATAGAAACACAGACAAACAGACACGTTCCATCCCTCGTTCCACCGGTGCTTGCCTAGGGCAAAAGCCACGGCTCAAAAACAGCGCAGATAAGGAGAAGCGGAAGACAAGGGGAGTGTCAGGAGGAGTAAACGGAATAATACTATGGGCCCGAAAAACGTGACTACAATGGATCGGAGAAGGGAATGAACCCCGGGAATGTGGGGAGGAACGGAGGATGACTAGCTAAGGGTATCGAGACGGGAATTTATGACTAATCGGAGCGAGAGAGAGAGCGGGAGAGAGAGAGCGAGACGGAGCGGGAGAGAGGAGGAGAGGGAGAAAAATGGCACAAAAATTAGCCGCTCCGACTTGAAGCAGTTCGAAGTAATTCGCAAAACCAAATCAATTTTGGACTACGCGCCGCTCCTCAAAACGAACGGCGGAAAAACGCCCCCGTCGGCGCCGCTGCTTTGCGCGTAGCGTCAAGTGGCCAGGCTGGTAGTGGGGGCCAGGCGGGCGGCCTGCCCGGCTTCTTCAAGTGGCACAACCATCACCAACCCCTTGATGGTGATGGCCGTGTACGGGCGAGAGGAACAGGCATATCTTGACGATTTTAATGGGATCGGAAAGCCATATTCTTACCACTTACTCTAATTAGGAATCTTCACAACGAAGCATGCTGGCAATAGACTTTTAAACCAATAAAAACGTTATTGCAGCCGATTATCTCCAAAAACCCAAGGAAAACAGCTAGTTGCGAACAGGTGTCATCGGAAAATACGGAAAAGGTCAGACCAAAACACTTATTTCAAGGTCATTTCACTGGTTTTCCACCGAGAACAGGTTTGGCAACGGGGCGGAAAAGAATTAAGAGCCTTGTGACAATTCAAAAAAATGTCACCTAGCGAAATTAGCGCAAAAAGGCGATACGAATTCATTTACAGAAAATTCCAGATCGCGAGCCACCGAAAACAGCCGGTTTTTTGCAACGGCAAAGCTAACCATCCGTTTTCCAGCCCAATCAAACCCGGATTAGCAAACTGTAAGCCGTTCGCAACCGAAAAAAACGGAAATGGGACCACGCATTCCAAAAAAATGTTAAAAAATGACATCGTCACGACTCGATTCCAATATATTGAAAGAGGGAGAGGGGCAGCGTGGCGACAGGACAATAAAGGGATTCCCGCGGGGGGTTGGGTGCATATTCGGGCGGTGGTTGCTTGTTGTTGCGCGGAACCGGGTTTATGAAATCAGGATTATAATGCGTGGATTGGGTACCCGGGACTCGGGAAAAATGGGCGGAAAATGACAAAAATGCTTTTTTCGGTTTGATGATCAAAATTGCCGGCGGCGCGTAACTTTTGCATGGCTTGTTAACCCCTTTGAAGGTCCAGGAAATACTAAAATCGACCCCTTATTTAGATAAGGTGTTGACGACTATTGAAAGTACCAGGTGGCATCTAAACTCTTTTTAATAACCACTGTTCACAAGTCTAGATGCGTCCGTCGGAACCCAGGTGAATTAGAGGGTGATTTAAGCTCGCCGGTCCCTTTAAAGCAGTCAAAAACCCTCGAAAATCCTGCAAATTCCGAAATCTATGCCCAGATTTGTAGCCAGGATGAGAGACTAATTATCGACGGGGTCGGGGGGGCAATTTTTGTGCCTAGGCCGGAGCCGATGAGAGAAAGAAAGAGAGAGTGGCAAAAAACCCGGTAGAATTCTCGGATCTGCATGCGAAGACGTGAAAAGATAAGAGGCGGTGTAGTGAGGACGGCAGGGCCCTGATTATCACTACTCCAAACGCCGCGAGAAAGGGTTGTATAGTGCTGATAGTTCTTGGAGGGGAACGGTCTCGAACCGGCAAGAAATCGAGAAATTGGTGCTTATCGAGGGTGATTTATTGGGTTGGAAAACGGGGAAGGGATACGACAAAAACGTATATTTTTACCCAAAAATTAATTATGACAGTTCGCAACTACTAGAGAATCAAAGAAAGAGACAGAGAGAGAGAGAGAGAGAGAGAGAGAGAGAGTGCGAGAGTGAGAGAGAGCGAAAAAACAAAGAGCTAGTGAAAAGATTTCCGTACAAAATAAAATCAAAATTAACAAAAAAATCCTACCTTGGTCGGTGCATACCAAGTCCCAGGAGGTGGCGAAGAATTAGGAGGGGCTGGCCGGGAGAAGGAGTCCTAAAATAAAAAGTATTTAAATCTAGAAAACTTTCAACAAGGTACAAACTCAAAAATACAGAAATTTATATTGTTTCCATTTTTGCGCAAATTAAAGGAACCTGTAACTCACCGATCTGGGCTGCGTAGGGAGTGGCAGTCCTCGGGTGGCGTACCACTCGACGGCCGTAGCGTCGAGTACAAGAAGGGAGCATTCATTCGGGTTCGACTTGATGCGAGTGACAACCTCAAGATTGCACAAATTAGAATTTTACAATAACTCCAACTACAAAATTCTAGCTATTAAAATTTTTAGATGGACCAGAACGTCAAAAAGAATCGATTAAACGAGTTAAAATCGAACGTAAATTTTATGGCATAAATTCATTAAAAAAGGTTTAAGGGCAATTGGAAGGCAAAAAACGTATCAGAACCACCGTACCTTGGTATGGTTCTCCTCGATGATGCTGTGCCCATTAACAGCGAGGATTCGATCTCCAGTGCGGAGGCCGCTCTTCTCAGCGATACTGCCGTGATCAACTACACCGACGAATTGGCCCTTGCCCTTCTCGGCGTGCAGGTTGTAGCCGTACTCCTGGAAAATGGCTTTAATTCTTTCTCGCTCTCTCTGTCTCTGTCTTTGTCTCTCTCTTTCTCTCTCTGCTCTCTCTCGCTCTCTCTCGCACCTGTCCAGGGTACTCCTTCGTGAGCGTGCAGAGACGAGGCGCTGGCCCGTCCATCATCTGAAAAATGAATTCAAATTCTGGTACAAGAAAATGCCGACAAATAGAGAAAGATCGAATCATGCAGACAAAAATTGACAAAATTAAAAAATTTCGGCCACTCTCGAAGTAGTAAATGTCGAAAAGGTTGGAAAAATAAGAAAAATGGCCATCAGAAGTATGAAAAAATATAAAAGGCCGACGATCATCAAATAATGCCGAACGATAAACTTTAGGATTTTGAAAAATCAGCACAGATGTCGAAAACGGTGAAAACGGTCAGGGATATCCACAGGAAAAAACTCGGAATCCCTTCGCAAAATCTTGCCATGATGTCGAAAATGCCAAAAAATGCCCACAACAAGTTATAAAAGTAAAAAATGACGAAATGTTTTCTCTCCCCTACTACAAGGAGCTCAAGGCGTTCAGAACAATGATAAAAGATGAATAGATGGTGATAAATGTTCTGCAGAAACTGTCTGCGCCACAGAAGAAGGGAATGGGGACACCGAAAAAAGGAAAATGACCCCAGGAGAGCTCGATCTACGTAAAAAGGCGCGGAGGGGAGAACGGGATTTATCGTGATAGTGAGAGTGATACGTTAGAGGTGTCGATAAGTGTTTTAAGAAATTAGCCTCGAATTCTGACCAAATTTGCACCAAAAATGACGGCGAGAGAGATAGAGCGCGAGTTAGAGAGAGCGAGAGAGACATAACGAGGGCGAGCGCGGGAATGCTAGAGAGAGAGAGAGAGAGAGAAAGAGAGATAGAGAAAGAGAGACAGATATTTTAGAACATTACGACACGTTAATACGAGCGTAGCGTATGTCCTTAAATGTACGCATTTTGTAAAAAAAAACGGATTAGTAGCTTGGCTCGTACCATTTAGGGTAATAGCCAGAGGTACCATCTGGGGTCTGGAGAGTCTACCAAACCGGGTCAACCCCAAAGCATTTTCTCCCGGCCGTCTTCCCCTTCTTCCGGGGGTTGACCCAGCCAAACGAAAGTCGGTAGTTTTTGCATATCGATGCCCGAGAAAGGGGAGAGAGAGAGGAGGCGAGAGTGAGAGAGAGAGAGAGGACAGAGGAAGTCATACACGAATTTCTAGGCTTCTGGGTTCCTTTAGAGGCAGCCCGAAGTCAACTATGACCTTGAAAAGTACTCGAAAACTACAAAAATCAATAAGCCAAAATTTCCGATACGTTGCCGATACTAGGCGGCTAATTTTGCCCCTCACTCCCCTCGTAAAGTCCAGCTAAAAGGTGGCAAGCGTCGGAGAAGCCGAGTTATCAGTGGTTATGGGATGAGAAAAAGGGTCCGAGAATGGGATTGTGGCTGACAGAGCTAGCGAGAGAGAGAGAGAGAGAGAGAGAGAGAGAAAGAGAGAAAGAGAGAGACTCAGAGCCTACTAGCTTATCAGATCCCCGCCGTACCCGTGGATTATTACTGGACCATCGATCTATTCCCGCCCCTAAAGGAATTGGGAAGGCCATGGGGGGATGGCGCAATAGGTTACGCCGCTCGCGATTCGAATTGGGGGTCAGGGTTCGGGGCCATTGTGACGAAATTTGCATACAGAAGCATGGGAATGGTGCCGTAACTTTTAACACTATTAGGTTTCTAAAATCCAGGAATATTTGGGTGAGCCCCGGAGAGCCACGTTCAGCTTATAAACAGTACAGTAAGAACGACAAGGTTGAAAAACAAACCAGAAAACCGAAAAATACACCCTGAAACGTAAAATGAGCAAAAATTCAAATTCTCCACTCGGCTTCTGAACTCTCTGGGGAGGACAAGAGCAATTCGCAGATTTTGCGGGTTTTTGGGTGGGGGGTGTTGTGTGGGGGTTGTATTTGTGTGTGTTTCGGAGGGGAACAAGGGTCTTTTCCAAAGGGAATCCGCTTATTTTCAGTTCTCCCGGTGGAATAAGCCGCGGGGTGGGCGGTCTAAAGTTTGCCCCCCGAAGCCTCCGGGCAAAAGAATATAAGAAGGAACCAGAATATCTGCATTTGCATAAGAAGAAACAATGGGTAAGATGTTCACTGAAAAAGTTGTTTTCTGGAGAGAGAGAGAGAGAGAGAGAGAGAGAGAGAGGGAGAGAGAGCGAGAGAGAGAAAGAGAGAGCAACATAAAGAGATAGTCAGGGAGCGACAGAGAGAGAGAGAGCGAGAGAGAGAGCAAGAGTGAGAGAGATGTAACTAGTACCGATCGGTCCAGTCGGCTTTTTAAAGGGATCAGGAAGTCAATTACCTACGCACCCCATAATTAGACTCTTAGAAAAAAGCTAGCAATAGATCTCGATCGTTCTGGGACCAGCTTAGCGCCCAAAAAAATAAATACATGAGGTGTGGGAGAGAGCGAGAATGAGTGAGAGAGTGAGAGAGAGAAAGAGAGAGAGAGAGAGAGAGAGAGAGAGAGAGAGAGAGAGGGCGGAAGGCCGGGCGCGTGACCGAGAGAACCAGACAGACAGAAAGCGAATTAAAGCTAGTTAAACTCCGTCCGAAAACTCGGAAAGCATCCAAAAAACAGAAATCCATATTTTTCGCTGAAAAAAATCACTAAATTACTTAACTTAAATAAATTGAAAATTGAAAAATGCCAATTGGCGCTAAAAAGAGGGAAATCAGTGTGTGTCTGCAGCGTCGAGCGGATTGTTGCGGTCGAAAAATGGGATAAATTATTGACGAGCCCGGACGAGACAAAGAAATGGCACCGGACCGCCGGCCATTTCTCAACTATGGTTTCACTTCCCAGGTGGTGGGGGACGAAAAAATGAGGCGGCGAGAATGGAGAGGGATGATTATCATAACCGGACACCTCGCAGGGGGGAGAAGCTGAAGGGCAAACAGGTATTCGGGAGTCGAAAAAGGATGAAGAAAACATTTTTTGTCCAGGTTTCGATTAAAGAAACCGGCCGACAAAACGCCGATAACCTAATTTATCGAATCTAAAAGGCCCGGAACGAAAATGCCGACAACAAGCTGCTTCCAATTTTGAGAGCCAACACTAGAAATGACGCCCACCGGAACACCATGGCTAACGATGCTGAGAGAAAAAAATGCCGACATTTGAAACCTTGACTGCCAAATGCCGAGAGCGAAAGCGTAAACAGGACAAAATGCCGACAAAACGCCGGTATGCTGAAATTAAAAACTGGGACAAGCAAAGTTGCCGACAGCCGGAATGTCGAAATAAAAAGTGCTACGATCAAAATTGCCGACAAAAACCCGGAATACCTATCTAAAATCCCGACGGTAGCGATGCCGCCACCCGGTACGCCGAAAGGAAAAGTTTGACAGCAAAAATGCCGACAAAAACCCGGATTTACGATGCGGTTAGTCAAAATGCCGACAGCCGGAACCCGGCGGTTTAAAATGCCGAGAGCAAAACGCCAACAATTCCAAAACCTTTCTCTTCAATCTCTCATCCCATTGACCCGCCCGACCCGAAAACGCGTAAACAGTAGCGTACCGTAGCCCAAGGGGTCTGTTTTCGGGAAAGGGGTGCTTGGAGCTGAAAACATACGGGTCGTAACCTTGAATCACCCCCGCGGCGCGTGCGTGCAAAGGCCAGTGGCGGAAAGTTCAGTGCTGTACGGAGGTGTCCGACGGAATATTGGAAAATTACAATTGGCGTGATAGCCGGGAAGAAAATGGAAACATTTGGCTTCGCATAATTAGTTAGATATTATTTTAGGTTTTCAATAATTTCGAGAAAGAGAGAGAGAGAGAGAGAGAGAGAGAGAGAGAAATAGAGAAGGAGACAGAGGGAGGGAGATGGAGAGAGCGCCATAATAACAATTTAAGCGATTGGAAAAGCTAAATATTGAAGCTGAAAAAATCTATCATTTATTTCTGACCTAGGCTTAAGAATTGCATCCCAGAAAATTGACGGAACATCAAGAAAACCTTTCGAATTAAAACGGATTTTGAAAAGAGGCGAAAATAGGCTAAACTTCAGTCAGTCTGTCTGTCTGTCCCGCTCTGTCCGTCTGTCCATTCGCAAGTCAGAATGGAAAGGTTCTACCGCCCTCCAATTCAAGGGCATCCCCCCATTCAATTCAGCCGCCCCCCCGAAAAAAGTATCCCGAATCGAGGGCGAAGGTGGGTTCCAAAATGAGGGTAGGTGCCCAAAAATGAGCCGGAGCCGTTCAGTGCTTGACATTATTCCCAATAAAAAGCCTGAACAAAAACCCGCACTTGAGAAGGCTTTTAAAGGCTTTGGAAAGACAGAAAACCCCGAATCCAAGGCCCGCACTTTTTCTACCCATCAAAAATCTCGACCCCCTATTTGCAGATTCCGATCTCTACCGGACGGCAATTCCGTGAAGGCGTTCCTCCTTCGGAGGCTAATTTGCACGAATTTGATGGTCATTGGACGGGGGGGGAGCGGAATTGGGCGGATCGTCTCGGAATCCGAAGCCAAAAAAGTCAAACCAGCTCGATTTGGGGCACAGATTGGACCCAAATATCATAGAAAAAAATGGTAAAAGCTAAACTACAGTTGCAAAACTTAAAAATACTATACAACGTGTTAAAGGAAGCCGCAAGGCAGCAAAGCCAGCAAAAAAATGCAAAAAAACACAAAAATGTTACTGAAAACCACAAAAATCATCGATAGACAATCCGGACCGGCAAAAAAGTGCTAAGAAGTCAGAAAAATTACATAGAAAATTACGGTAAAAAAAATATGCAAATTAAGAGTTGAAGAGTGGTTATTTTGGAAATTTAAATAAGGGAAGAAAACTGACAAACCAAGAAAGACAATTTTCAGTCGTTTCAAACTCCAAAAAACGCCTCAAAAAATCGGCTTCCCTTTCTCGGGCTGGGCTAATCGAAACCGTAAGCCGATCAAGGAGAAGCCGCCCCAAAATTCCGCCAAACTACTATCATCATTCCGAAGGGGGGCCAGAGATTTCGTTGGCAGCCGCCAGGCGCCAGCACCGAGATGACAGATCCCGAACCGGCAGTGGAAGGGGCCAAGAGAGAAAAGCAGCCACAGATTCGGGCTGATAACCGGGCACTCTCTCTCCCTCCTCCCTCCTCTCTCTCTCTCTCTCTCTCTCTCTCTCTCTTCTCTCTCTCTGTTTCTCTCGCATTTTGTGTTTGGAAAGGCTCTCCAAACCACAGGCTAGGCGAGGCGCGCCTGCCGGTGGTTCAATCGGATAGTCAGAAGCCGGGAAAAGCATGGAAATTCGGAAAATCGTGTTTTTAGAGCTGCTATACGCCCTTCCAATGCGTAATGGATCAGCTTCTCGTGGAAATACCTAAATTTACAAAGGATTCCAAGGGAATCATAGGGCACGAAAATCAACCCCCGGATTTCGACATGTGATCGGCACGGGAAAACGTCAAGATCCCGACAATCAAAATCCCGACAGTCAAAATGCCGACATCCAAGATGCCGACGACCAAAAATGCCGACGGTCCAATATGAAAAATGCTGCCAAAGCAAAAACGGCACAATATGTTGCGATTTGGCAGTCGCGATTTTGGCTGTGGGGATTTCGCCTGTCGGGAAATTTTTAGGCCGGATTCCTGGTTTCGTTTTCAGCCGGGATTACGACTGCCAGGGTTTTTGGCTGTCGGAATTTTTGTTGTCGGGATTCTTAGGCCGGCATCTTGTGTCGGGATCTGGTTTATTATTGTTGTTTTCGGTATTTTCGAAACGGTAACGCTATTTGCGAAAAATTCGACAAAAAACAGGCTGGCGCGCACGCTGGTTTGTCGATAATCCCGTAGGAACGTGGAATGGAACGCGAGGCCCCCGGAATGTATGTAAACAATCCCAAATCGCATCAAATGGTCCGCAAATGCGGAGCATCGCGCGGGGGAAGGGCAAACGAGCAGAGATCGTTTGGGAACGGGAGTTAACGAGACCGTAAATGCTAGATGTTTGCGGTTTATCATATATCAAGGATGACAACCCTCTGGGGAAATTGGAGGCCATAACTATTAATGTCTTAAAGAAACCTTAAGCATAAAATGTGGATTTTGTTGGACTTTAAAGAGACCGCGAAGGAAAAGAAATCAGAATCCAGCACCCCCATGTGGCTGCCATCCAATCGCCCTGGGCGACGATCTGATCGACACGACTTTTTTTCAGGGATGCCTAGAACGGGATCGACGATGCCATCCCCCACAATTGGGGGATCTATTCCGAGCGCAGCCGAAAAAGGCAAAACTCGTAATGAGGATCGTTGCATAGTCGGGCAGGGAAAAGACTCGCGACAAGAAACTGGTTCAGGGGGATTGACCGGTGGGGAAAATATGCAAATAAGGAGGGATAGAGACAGTGAGAACGAGAGAGAGAGCGAGAGAGAGAGAGAGAGAGAGATAGCCTTGTAATAATTTTAGTTACACCAACGATTTTGGAAAAAATTATTCAAACCGGTCTCAAAATTTTGGATAACGAAAGTTTCCGCTCCCATCCCCTGTACACTCACCGAAACGTGCGCTGTAGCAGCACAAACTCCTGAATATTTATGGGACACCCGGACGACGGGAAAAGGATCGAAATCCGATTATAGCAATGGAATGGAATGGGGGGGGGAAGACATGGGAACACGATGATACACACACCGCCAACTGGGGGCGAAAGTCTCGGAATTTTCGATAAATTGACGGGAATTTTAAAGGCTTCAAAAAGCAACAAACCAGAGAGAGAGAGAGAGAGAGAGAGAGAGAGAGAGAGCTGGAAAGAGAGAGCAGAATAGAGGGAGAAAGAGCGGGCAATCAGCGTTCCTCTGAAAAAATGCAATGTGGAAGTAGTTCATCAACGGAAAATTGGCACCTAGGCGATAGAATTTCGGAATTCTCGCTCCGGAAATGAGACACTGATGCGGCTGCGCAAACGGTGCAAACCACGGCATTATGGCAGACTATCTCTCTCGTTCGTTCTCTCAATCACGTTCTCCCTCTCTCTATCTCTCGCGCTCTCTCTCTCGCCTGCACTGGCTAAATTCCATAACTGATGCGCGTGCGGCGCTATTAATCATCGCGCGCACCTGATTGTGGTCGAGGTGGAACCGAAATGTTGAGAGGTGTGAAATGGAAATTTTCCAGAGAGAGCGAGAGAGAGAAAGAGAGTGAGAGAGAAAAAGAGAGCATTATAGTGAGAGCGAGAGACATCGTTTATGCAAATTTCGGTCCGAAATGACAAATTTTAGCCATATCTAGCACTAGCAAACACGATTCGTTGAATCACTTAGCAAGGGTAAACATATCGAGAGCCAGAGAGAGCGAGAGGGCGAGAGAGCGAGAGAGAGTGTGAGAGAGCAACAGATAAACAGTTCCGCCACACTACGGCCTTGACGCACCGCCCTGTAGGGGGGTCGGAATGGCGTGCGCGCAGTAATGCGGATACACCCACCGTGTAGAACAAGGGCAAACAGTATGCAAACGGAACGGAAGAGAGAGCGAGCGGGATGGAGAGGGTGCAGAAAGAGAGAGCGCGAGGGAGAGAAAGAGACACGAAATCGCGTCCCAATAAGGGGCCAGCCATTGCATATGGATTGGGGGCTGTAATCGGCCAGCCGGTGGGTAGGTCGCGGCGTCTCTTTCTCTCTCTGTCTCTCTCTCTCTCTCCCTTTCTCTCGTCTACCTGTATCCCCCTATGAATTGCATGGGTATGATGTGTGACATGAGAGCCACACACACACACAATGCCACAAAAGGACAGGTCGTCCTGGGACCTGCTTTTTTTGAGAAACTTAGAGGAACTACAGATTGCGTGAGGTAGTGCAGCTAAAGGGGCAGCGAATGAGCCTTTTGCAAAAAAAATAAATTGGTACCTTTGGCGCTAGGTAGGCGTAAGGAGTAACGTAGTGGCGAGAAGCGTAGCGTAGCACAGCTAAATGCGGGGGGCGAGAAGCTTAGAAAACGCAAACTGGTAGGTGGCGTCCGGGTTGGGTGTACGGAGTAAAGTAACGTTGTGTGTCATGATATAGCGTTGCGTAGCGTAGCGTAACGTAGCGTAGCTTAGGCGTTGCGTAGCGCATCCAAAACGACCGAGAAAGTCACGCAATAACCGCAAATTGGCAAATAAATAGCGGGGTAGCCGGAAGGAGTAGCGTAGCATAATGTTGTTTATCGTAGCGTGGGGCAGAGCAGGCAAAAACGAAAGCGAGAAGCTCCGCAAAAAAAAACGAAAATTGGTGTGTAGCGAGCAGGGTGGGCGCAGAGTAACTAGCGTAGTCTGCCGTAATTGAAAGCAATGTAGTGTAGTTACAAGGAGTGGTTGTTAGGGTGCCTTTTTAAATTTGCTAAAGCACCTTTATCGATCAGCACTTGTTGAAACCGGTATCTTGCTTAGAATTTTTTCTATTGAACTAGCTAGGTACCGTCCCGAAACTTCAAAAGCACCCAAAAGCGACCCCTTGTTAGCCTGACGTAACTTAGCGTAGTGTAGTCAAAAGAGAACGGGAAGCTTCCCGAAAAAATGCAAATTGGTAGGTGGCTGCGGGTGGGGTGGGCAGGTGGCAGTGGTGGGGCCTGACCGATCCCATCCCCACCATTTAGCCATAGCAACGAAGCGCCGGCCGGGGACGCGTAAACAATACTTCCCCATTAAACAACGCACAAATCACCCCAAAAATTCTTGGCAACCTGCCAAAAGTGTGGCGACGACCCGGGGCTTCTCGAATGAAAAGCCTGCTGAACGTCCACAAGACGGTGGGAGAGCAAATATGACCCGGACCGCGTGCCCCACGCGTCACTTTTCCGCAGCGTTTTTTCCGCGCGGACCATTGTGGCGGAGAGAGAGAGGGAGAGAGATAGAGAGGGAGATAAAGATGAGAGAGAGAGAGAGAGAGAGAGAGCGAGAAAAGTTTGGATAGTCTGCTAGGGCCATCAAGACACCTCGGATGATTCGACAGGTCGATTTGGAGTGGCTTGAAGGGGGCAGAGAAGTTTGTATTAGAGGGGCTTAGAGTTAAAATTCCAATTTTTTAAGAATTATGTATCTACTTGATTGCCGTAATCTCGCAGGAGCCTAATCCTTCTTCGGGTTCACGTTTTTATCGAAATCTTGGAATTTATTTGGCTTACTTCGTCGCTACCAAATTCCCCTCCTCGGATTTAGACTACGCGCGGCAACTTTCAACTTTTTTCCGGGGTTTTTTAGCAGCATTTTCAACCTTGTTTATGCTTTGAAATACTGTAGAAAGCATTCAACTTGTATCTAATGTTTAAAAATGAGTGATTCTGACTACAGTAGTCTAACATTCCCAAAATTCGGCAGAAACCGCTTGGTTTTTTGTGTTTTGGTCTACCAATTTTCCGGCCTTGCTTTTTCAATTTCCAAGATTTTTAATTCAATTCTGGGTCGGCATTTCCCTCCAAAAACAAGTTTCCCGGTGCTCCGAACTCCAATCGCCAGGCTCCTAATTCCTCCAGAATCGCCATCAGTGCTAATCCGTACGCGGCGGAAAAGCGGAAAAACGGGCATGGGCCCCGAGGATTTCACGTTTCCGCCCCAATCCTATTGACGGTGTGGATGTCGGCTGTCGCGTAATGTGGCGAGAGGAGGGTCCTGATGCCATGGTCCAAACAGAGAGAGAGAGGGAGGGAGAGAGAGAGAGAGAGAGAGACAGACAGACAGACAGTCACACATACAGACACAGAGATGGTATTATTGACATAAGCTTTGCGCTGACTCGACACACTATCCTCTCTTCTATTCCATCATCCATGAAACAGGTGTGTATGTATGTTGGTCTGCATGCAGCAATGAAGCATCGTCATTGAGGAGGGGAAGGGATTTCCGGATCCGTGTCTTGAGCTCTCTCTCGCTCTCTCTCTCTCTCTCTCTCTCTCTCTCTCTCTCGCCGTAATCTGTAGTTATTACATAACGGAATAACTTTATTTAAGGCTTTTTGGTGGCCGCCTTCTTGGCCTTCTCGAGCTTCGCGCGCTTGGCGGCGTTCTCACCGTTCTAAAATGGATTTAGTGATTAAAAAGCTTTACGAGTTATTCGCGTTTAATTGATATAATAAAGTCTACCGATAGATGGCTTAATTGAATGAGAAATACTCTAAAATAGAAATGATTACTTTATTTTAGCTTAATCTAAATAGCCCTTTCTAAAATTGGCATAAATACATCATAAACTACGCATTATTCCTCAAGAAGACTTCAGTCTAGTTTAAGTTTAACCCATTACAACTCTTTTCTCATTAAATGGCGTCAGAAAATCAACAAAAAATCCACTAAAAGTCCTGTCGATTAAACCGTGAACCCACGTCGTCGGCGCTAAGCGGGTAGACGATGTGCTTCAGCTAAAAAAAAGTGATGGAGTATTGTAATTTATTGAAGTATTTTATCTATCCCTGCTGAAAAATACCTTGGCGAGAATGTCCTTCTTGGCGCCGGCCGTCACCTCGTTGCGCTTCACCTCGGCGGTGCGGAATGAGGCGAGCAGGGCCTTGTCCGAATCGGAGAGGCTAGTCTCCTGAAATCGTCATTTTCATCTCGAACCCACCGAACTTACAATCTTGTTGGCCTCGGTGAGCTTGCCGTTGATGGCCGACTTGGCTTCGAAGAACTTCTTCTGAAAAAAAACAGGCTTTGTCCGCTATTCTATAAACTTTAGTATAAATGTTCATCAGTTTTTATCTCGCTACCTTTGAGGCATCAGTCTCAGCAAGCTTCTCCAGCTTGTCCAACTTGTCGTTGATCGAGCCCTTGCCATTCAGAATTGCGACGAGCTGCTCGTGATTGTCGCTGGTCAGAGATCCGCGCCAGTTGCTGATCAACTTTTGCTAAAAAGTAAAACTGGCAAGCGTATCTTAAAACCTTATAAGCACGTATAACGCTAACATACGCGCTAACATTTAATAAATACAACCCATTGTTTCCTTAAAACCAACTCCGGGCGAAACATCAATAGCGGCATCAGCCGCGAAAACAGCCGCCCCAGCGCACAGCGAGAAGATGATGAGCCCGTACATCCCGATTCCGTTACAGTCTGTGATTTCGCCAAGTCGGAATACTTTTATAGCTTCGTCGAGCGTGGAACTCGTCCCATCTTCTCACACGCATCTCCTTTGACCGCATATGGCCGCGCAGAGTCGTAAGCAAGGGACCGCCTTGTGTTATAGTAGTAAATCTCGTGAAGCTCAAGAAACTCCACAGACTCCACGTCCCAAGCGTCATACTAGAATCATCTCGAAGTGTAATGTGTGAATACGGTCATCCAGACGTGTTCGTTAGAGTTCAAGCAGACGCAGCATAGACAAAAAACTTTATTCTAGATTACAACATGTAAAAAGGTACTACCACTACAAAAAATTACACAACCTGACACAAATTACAAAATCACAACATGGGAATCAGACGGGGAAAAGCGCAGGCACGAAAAATTGGGCGAGAATAAATACGATAGAGGGAGATTTAGTGGAATTTCTTGACGGCTTCGACGATGTGGCGGGCCGAGATGCCGAACATGTCGACGAGGTCATCTGGCGGTCCGGAGCGGGGCACGCCAGAGACGTGCAACGAGCGCACGCGGATGCCGGCATCAGAAAACGGCGGCAGAGACCTAAAAAAAGAAATAAGCCTGGAAAAGGAAAACTCACCGTTTCCCCAATGCCGCCCGCGGCGAAGTGGTCCTCAACGGTCACGACCTTGCCTCCGGTGCGCTTGGCCTAGAAGAATAATATATGAAACAGAAAGATAAAACTCACGTGCTTGACAATAGTTTCCCCGTCGATCGGCTTGATGGTGAACGGGTCGATGACGCAGGCGTGCACGCCAGACTTCTCCAGCTCGTCAGCAGCCTAGGAAACATAATTCTTGAAAGTTTAAGAAAAATTACCTTCAAGCACTCGTACAGCGTCACTCCAGCGCCGACGAGCACGATCGAATCCTTCTCGTTCTCGCGCAGCACCTTGGCCTTGCCAGCCTAGAAAAATAATTCAAGCATCAAGTAGTAGCAAACCTCAAACTTTTCATCGTTGGCATAGAGTACGGGGAGCGCGGGGCGTCCAGTGCGGATGAAGACGATGCCTAAAACAAAAATAATACAAGAAAAGCTTGAAATAGCACCTTGAATGTTGGCGGCCATCTCGGTGGCACGCTCGGCGCTGACGGCGTCGGTTGGGTAGAAGACGGTCGAGTCGGGAATGGCGCGGAACAGGGCCAGGTCCTATAAAAAAAGTTTTGGTCGAGTGAGCAAGAACTACCTCCAGGGCCATTTGTGAGGGTCCATCCTCTCCGATCGACACGCCGACGTGCGAGCCGGTGCACTTCAGGTTGGCGAACGACACGGCGGCCATGCGCAGTTGGTCGGCGGCACGGGTGAAGAAGGCGGCAAACGTAGAGGAGAACGGGATGGTGCGGCCCCGGCACTGGGCTCCGACGGCGACACCGACGAGATTCTGAAAAAAAAAGTTATCAACGTCACAGAATATAACTGATTGCAAGTATAATGTAATAAGTATAATTGCAAATATTATAAGCATTACCTGCTCGGCAATGAAGCACTCGATGAACTGGTCGGGCTTGTCCTTCAGCAGCTTCTCCGAGAAAGTCGAGTTCTTCGTGTCACCGTCGAGGCCGATGACGCGCGGGTTGGCCTTGCCGAGCTTCGCCAGAGCCGTCCCGTATGCCGCGCGGGTGGCCACCTTGTCGCCCTTGGTGTACGCCGGCGGGTCGCTCATCTTGATGGAGCCGATGTGGAGGTCAACCTATACAAAAGATAGCTGCAAAACCTAAAATTTTACCTTCGGGGCGTCCTCGATCGGCTTCTTCGGCGCCAGCTTGCCCTTCTGCGATCCGTGGTAGCGCGCCTTGATGGCTTCAATTTTCTCGATCGGCACCGGCTTTCCGTGCCAGTTGTCCTGATCGGCGACCCCATCGATGCCCTGGCCCTTGTGCGTCTTGGCGATGATTGCCGTCGGCTTGTCCTTGGTGTTGCGCGCCGTCTCGAGGGCCGCGGCGATCTGCTCGACGTTGTGCCCGTCGACGACGATGGCTTCGAAGCCGAAGGCGGCGAAACTAAAACGAAAAATTAAATTTTGTACTCAAAAGTGTTCGTAAATGCCGAGAATTTAAACTGACCGGTCCCGGTAAATTTCGACGTGGTGTCCGAGCTGGGTGGCCTGCGACTGCCCGAGACGGTTGACGTCCACGATGGCGACCAGGTTGTCGAGCTTGTAGTGAGAGGCGAAAGCTAAACAACAAAATGAAAGCTTTGAAAGGACAAGCTTACAAGCAGCTTCCCAGACGGCGCCTTCAGCCGATTCACCGTCTCCCATCAGGCAGAAGACGCTAAAAAGCAATAATTTTAGACCATAAAGCAGCTGTCGTACCGGTACGAGGCCTTGTCGATGTATTTTCCGGTGTAGGCCATGCCAGCGGCGCAGGAGAGGCCCTGGCCGAGCGAACCGGTGGCGACGTCGATGAAGTTGAGGCGCTGAAATAAAAAAAAAGTAAATAAAAATCCCAACAAAATTACCGGAGTAGGGTGTCCCTCGATGTCCGAGTTGATCTTGCGCAGCGTCAGCACATCGTCGTGCGACAGGAGGCCGGCCTCCTCCCAGGCTGCGTACAAGATGGGGCAGGCGTGGCCCTAAAAGAAAAAAACTTCAGAAAAAGCACCAATCAAACCTTGGAGAGGATGAAGCGGTCGGCGTGTTCGCTCCTCGGGTTCTTGACGTCGTAGCGCATCTCGTGGAAGAACAGGGTCGCCATCAGCTCCGCCGCCGAGGTCGACGAGGAGGGGTGACCCGACTGAAAAAAAAGCTTGAGACAATTCTGAGAAATTATACCTTGGCCACGGCGGTCATCTCGATCGAGGACACGCGCATCCGGTTGGCGACGTCCTCAAGATCCTTGCGCAGCTCCTCGTTGACCGGCGACATCTTCGAAGTTGTGGCCTAAAAAGAGAGTCGATTAGAACGCGTAGAAACGCAGACAAAAAAAAAATAGAGAAATCAGAAACTCGAATTTTTGAACGCCCTCAAAACCTCCATTGAAAAAAAAAGAGGAAAATAAAAGTTAAGCCAAAAGGTAGAAGCTAAAGCCGAAAACCATGCAGCACATCATTGTGACAATACAATTTCTGGCCAGGCACCCGGCTCTATCAAGAAAACGGGTTGTAAGCAAAAGCAATGGCGTGAGTGGAGGCGAACGGGGGAGCAACAATATGCCGATGGGATGGTCTGATATAGGGATCGATAGTCCCCGGCGGCAAAGACAGGCCAGACAGGATCTCGCGAGTGAATAAATGAGGGTCCTCGTCGTATTACTCATCCACAAATCTTATAGAAAATGGCCTAGAAAAGCCTCAACTAATTCGGCCCGTGTGAAAATGGGATGACAAAAGTGTTATAAACCAGATCCGCTCCTAAAAACAAAAGTGCACCCATATCACTAGATATCTTTATCCTTACAAGGCTTATTTGCCGATTTTTAATGCACGTAGGCCATCAAAGTAATTGTTACCATTATTAAACGGAAAATTAGAGGAAACGAGCGTAGAAATAGCAAGTCTTTCCGCAAAATGGCCAGGGCCGGGGGCAGAGAAGGGCTGGTCAAGGAGAGAGGGATCGGTCTCTGCGCAGAGGATTCGAAGAGCAATACGCAGAGCCGGGCGAAAAAACGCGCCGGCCGTTCGGCGGGTAAACAGCGCGGCGAGCGACGGGGCAAGGATGTTTGTCGCGGCAAATTGATCAAGGAAAAGCGAATTATCGCAAGCATGATGTGAAAAAAATTGAAATGGCCTGAAAATCGAGGGGTCCAGTCGCGGGGCATTCTTTAGAATCCCACTCGAGCGTGCTACTGTGTAAGTAGTATAGCACGTACTTAAGAAAAGCGCACCAATGGCTTGCGGAAACCGAAAATGCTTACCGGAAAATAGCGCATTTTTTCAGATAAAATAAGTATAAATAACGTTGTAGAGATAGTTAACAACCCTGCTTTAGGCTAGCCGGCGCCAAAATTCTCGAAAAGCCTTTCCCCCGCTATCAGTCGAGCGAACGCAAGCAGATAGCTAATCAAAGTGGCCGAACACGCGCTTGCCAATGACTAAAATCGAAAGGTTGTCATCGAATCACGTACTAGAATCTGTGGTGGCTGGCCTTACGGAACGTATCGGTACCTTAGACCTTGCAAATTTTATTCTCTAACAAATTCCAAACGAAATCACAAACCAAGCTATACCAGAATTGAGTATTCGACAGCGGGATCACAGCTAGGGAGCATTTTACGGGTGTTAGCAATAGAGTATATGTCGGCACCGGAAGTCAGATAATTCGGGGGCAAGTCTCCTAACAAGGAAATATGTGGATGTGTGTGATAGCCAAGAGCCAAAAATGCCGAGGGAACCCGAAAGGGGGGAAATCGCATTTGATTGGCCCAGAAGAAAAATATTATGGGCAGCTGAAGACGGAGCGGAGGAAGAGTTCTTTGGCGTTGGATGAGCAAAAGGTAATCGTGCAGCAGAAGAGGATTGAAAAAGGCCTATTTTTCAAATTTTGATAGATAGGAGACGGGCAGGTGAAGGTGGAGCGGGTCCCGGATGCAGCTGAGCAATCGGCGAAGTTCGTCAACCTAAAAAGAGTTTCACTTTCAATATTAACAAGCCCACCTCGTCAACCAGCCGGTTGTATTTGTCAATGTCGAAGCTGTGCTTGGCGGCGCGCTTGTAAAATTGTCTGGTGAAGATGCGGTACCGGGCGAGCGTGTACTCGAAGGGCTTAAAAACCATTCAATCTAGAAAAGAAGTTAAATCTGACCTGTTTAGTGTATAGATAGTAGCCAAAAGACGCGATTACAGTCGAGAAAGTCGCAAAGTAGGTGACCGGCTCCATGATGTCCCACGAGAAGTCCCACCACGTCAATCTAGACGAATTTTTAGGTTTATTCGAGGGTTACCGCTTACCTCGCAAAAATGCCAGTCTGCAATCCCATCGCCCCGAAGAAGCCGACCAGCACGCGCTCGGAGTGCTGCTCACATTCGCGCTCGATTTGCTGCTTCGTCTAGAAATTACAACATTAAGTGTAATTATGTTTTTTTTACATCTAACAACGGCTGCAGCTCCTGCTCAGCTTTTTCAAGGCGCTCCTGCAATTTGCGCTCCCGTTCCAGCTTGTACTCGTCGACGTTGAGGACGCCGTGCAGTCGGGCGACGATCGCTTTCAGGTCGTTTAGCTCGCGGACCCTGGAATAAAATTATAATTATTTTCTCTTTATTAAAATTAAAATTTCAATTATTTAACTTTCAATTATCTTTATCCTACTATATATAAAAAAATAGTGTCTGTGTGTGTGTGTGTGTGCATTTGCATGCAACTTCCGTCCGTATGTTCCAGTCGTATCTCAATAAAGGAAGAAGTTAAGGGCATGTATGATACGTCATTAGGTGCGTAATGGTCATGACACCACTGCACACCCATCAGATTTTCAAAAATCAGCTATTTTCGATATTAAAATTAGGTTTTTGTGAAAATCTCACTCGGCCTCTTTGTTAGGAATCAATTTGCATGCGCCGGAAGTGGGGAGAGCCTATATAATGGGGGAGAGGACGCGCTTTTCATTTTTTTGCACAGGAATTCAGGAGTTTATGCAAAGTGATGAAGTATGGGGGTAAGACGGGGCCAGGGTTGAAAAGTCGCGAAGCGGCTTTTCAACCCTGGTTTATCTAGAAAAAAGTATGTCCGATTTTACCTATCCGTCGGCTCCTCAACATTTCCCTCACGCACCGCGACGTCAAAAATTTTGTCGTTGACCCGCAATCGAAAAGCGCCAAATTGCAGTAGGTGCTCTATCGAGGTAGAAGACGAAATTCGGGTACCATCTGGAAGCCACTTTATATAAATTTTTTTCATTTTCCTACCTGGCGAATAAATCGAAGCATGGTCGATTCCCCGGTCTTCACGCCGAAGTTGTGCGCAGAACGTTCCTACCTAAAAAGCCATCAATTTTCAAAAATTGTCAGTTATTACCGTGTCCGAAATCGGGCGCAACGTAAATTGACATGACTCGGGTCTTGACGGCAGTGGGATCTAAAAAGATGCATTGAGCATGGGTAGAAAATAGAAATAGCCGATTTTCCCAATTTTTTTGAAAGCTACATATAAAAAGCGTACCACGATATAGGGAAGGCCACGTTGAAAGGAGACGCTCAATTGGATCGTTTCCGGCGGGGTGGTTGCGTAGAACCGTTTATGATACCTAAAATATCCAATACAGGGTGTCCCAAAAAAATCCCCCCTAGCCGGCCGCAGACGGGTCCGATTTTTACGATTTAGGTATCTATCGAAAGCTCTCGGAAAGGCGAGTCCAGCACGTCTCTTCGATTTTCGTAATTTGGAAATTTTTCCATCAGTTACTAATGTTTTTGCAAAATGGGCGTATTTTCTGATCTTGTTCTGACCAGGGGAATTTTTACAAAAATCGCAATTTAAGAATTTCTGCGCGTTTCCTGGCAACCCAACGACAGCTTTTTGAAAGCCGTTTGTCAAAACACAGCTTGGACAGCGCTTAAACCGGTTAAATTGCGTTTTGAACAAAAAAGTCTGTCCTTTTGGCCTGAAAAATGCCGAAAATCGAACAAAAAATTCCGACATTTCGCAAATCCGCAAGACGTGCTGGACTCGCCTTTCCGAGAGCTTTCGATAGATACCTAAATCGTAAAAATCGGACCCGTCTGCGGCCGGCTAGGGGGGGGGGGGTTTTTTGGGACACCCTGTATATCATGTTTTTCACCTAAAAGCTCCAATTTAGAGCCTCAAAAACAATATTTACCTGCAGAGAAGCCCCTGCGAAAAGATTGACGGTAAAATTGAGCTAGAAGAGGATGGGCGTGTGGAGAAGCGGCACTAAAAATTAAAATGAAGTTAGATCCGCAAAGTCTACCTCAGCTCCCTTGAAATCCACCGAACTGGCAGTGCGAGAGGCGGGGAGAAAGGACCTAAATAAAGTTTTCACGCGTTTTATTTGTAAACATACTTGGCCTCGCGCAAAAACAGACCCGCCGGCCGCCCACCAATCCGCATTCCCTGGCCCCTAGTGGGCGATTCCTGCAAAAAAGTGGATTAAAAAATCAGGGCGAATAAAGCGGTTACGAAGGATGAAAATAAGGATATTAAATCAAAAAGAAGAAGAGGATTAATCTCGTGATCAATTCTAGCGCTTCCTGTAAGAATTCGATTGTAAACGCAAAAACTAAAATATAAATACAAAGCTGGGAATTAAGTACACCAAATAATAAAAGGAGCTGATAATCTCGGGATCAATATCCACTTGACATCACCCAGCAAAACGGTTGAGCGGAGCACGAGCGTGCGATGATATCAATCATGACCGTGGCGATCGGGAGAAACCTGCCAGCACTTTTCACCCCCCAGCGCAAGAATACTTCCAGCGAACATTAGCGCTTAGAATGTGTCCGCTGGCTCCCCACCTACTTTCAGATCCGACCACCCGAGGTCAACATGCCGCGCCCAAGGAATGAAGAGGGAGAAACAGAGAGAGATTGACTGTTCAAGAGAGGGCCTAGAGTTGTGGCGCGCTTGAAAGATTGTAGTTTTTTTTTTTGATGGAAAGTGGGGTTTTTACAAGGCTAAACCCAAGTTTTTAACACCTGAATAGTTATTTACAAAGCTTATCTCGCTGTCAAAAGCTTCTGAAAGGGCTCTTCAACATTGTCTAGAACCTCCTAAAGAAAAAAAACGGATTTTCAAGATCTAAATAGTTTTTTTCAAGGCCATCTCGTTTTATGAAGCAGCTAAAATGACTTTAGGTCTGTCTGGGGTGATCTAAAATATGATCTTGCAATCGTGGTGGCCTAGACAATAAAAATGCGGGGGTTTTTAGCGCTCTTCTCCCTGTTAGTAATCTTAAAAAAATCTTCAAATTATCAGAAGAAGCTGTAGATCAATCTGGAAGCGCCGAAATAACTTAACCAATTTACAGCTCCTTAAATTTAACTAAATTAATATTTTCAAAGCAAGAAAGACATCGGAAAGCCCATCTCGCACCCGTTAACTTCAAAAACCCGCCGGATGTGCTGAAGTCACTCCGAAAACAATTGCCTCGTGTTCGCCAATGGGCCTAGGGGAGTTAGCGTCAGTGAAAATGGAGCAGTCAGCCAAAGGCATTACAGCCAGCCTGGGCCACACAGCCGTTTTTCCCCGGGGCTTCCCCCGGCTGACGCCGACGAGACAAGCTGAGCAGGGGCGACTTTTTCGGAAAAAAGAATGGAGTGGAAGGCGGGAGAGCAATGAGCAAACGCGCCCGGATAAACCTAATCAATGTTGGGCTGTGAGATGTGGTGAGTGGCCAGTGATTTGTCAAGAGCCGCTAATCCCGCAGGTGGACGCGGAAACTCTAGAATGACTGGCTGGACGCAACACGGCTTTTGGGAAGTTTGTTTTGGCTGCCGGAAAGCCTGAAAGATATATTGCATTTTCAGCCATTTAGAATAAGTTTTGATTGCTTGCATTTTAGCGTTTTCTCCCGGCCTAATGTGGAAAAATTTCAAAGTTTAATAAGTAAAAAGCTAAACTGTGGAAACTACTGAAGTAAAACGATAGTAAAAACTACAGATTTTAGCTTCCAAAGCATATATAATTGTTCTTTTCGAGCCATTTTGAAAGAAAATTAAGCCTTTGTAATGCCTAAAGCTATTTTCGATTGAGGAAGTAAAACCGTGGTAAAAACTACATCTTGAGCACAAATTTAGATCCGCCAAACGAGAAAGGAAATTAAGCCACGGCAACCGTCTAAAGATATTTTCAATTGAGGAAGTAAAACCGTGGTCAAAACTACATTTTCGAGCCCAATTTAGAGACGCCAAGCGAGCAAGGGGCCATAAACAGCAGCGTAATCTAAAAAAATTACGCTCCACCAAGGCAAAAGACCAGCTGGGGGCTGGCGACCGGCAGTCAAGGTCGTGGCTCGAGCCAAATCGGCAGGCCGGCACAACCTATATAGACGATGATGATGTCGAGGGCCCGGAAGCCAAAATGGCTGCCGTGTTCGATGAAAAATGGACCCGACCCAGGGGACGCCCGCAAATAGCAATATCGACCCTCCTCCTTTACTCGGAGACCCGAAAACGGAAGAGGGTGGGGAACCAGGACGCGGGGGCCCCCGATAACATAACATGTGCCAAGTGGGGGAGCGGAGTGGTCTGGGGAACGCAGCTGCAAATTGCATTCTCACGCACACCAAAAGCGCCGCCGGGGCTTGTTTGGGCTAAAGAGCCCTGTGCAAACGGCAATTTGGCGGGCCTGAAAGTTTGCTCTTTTCCGCGCCCTTCTAAAGGTATCACGCAATTTTTAAGTAAATAACTCTAATTTAATGATCAGCTGCTATTTAGCTAAGGGGCTAACGGGCTCTGTATCCGATTCACGACAAGATGACGAAAACCCCGGTCAAGCTGTATATGGTCGTTCTAAAGGGCAGCCCGCTTTAAATTAATGCCAGCGACATCTGGCTTGAAAAACCGTTTAAATCGAAAATTCGGTGCAATTCGGGCTCGAAATTCGTAAAATTTATTGGTTTAGTCCCGTACAAAATTCAACAAACAAGGCATAACAAAAAACAATAACTGCAAATACACCCTCAACAAATCTACCGCTTTTTGTACAGACACGGCTTCAACTTCAACCCGAACGGCTTCTTGCTCTCCACCTTGCCCGTCTTCACGAATTCGAACATGGAGAAGTAGTCGGTGAGGCGTTTCTAAGGAAGAAATTTGAGAACTGCGTTAAAATATGTACCTTTTCGGTTAGGTCGAATCCCAGTTTACAAACGGCTCCGCAGAATAACTTGGTGTTCGTGAAACGGGAGGAGACTTCAGCGATTTTGAGGATACCACTAAATGAGTTTTAGAAAATGACCAATTTCGGGGCGTACTTCTCTTTCAAACATCTTCTCGCTTCTCGGATATATTCCGCCAAATTCGTGCCCATCAGCGATAAGCAGAAAATCGCAATGTCGGCCGTTCCATCCTGAAACAGATTTTTTGCCGCAAAACTGAGAATTTTTACCTCAATAGGTAATTTAGCCATGTCGCACGCTGTCACCTTATCGTTGACGGCGACCAAGTCAAACGAATGGACCTAGAAAAACTAGCTTGAAAGAAAGCAACGAAAAACCTCGTGTTTTGCTCCCACGGCCGATCCGAGCTTCGCCTCCCCGCAGCCAAGATCCAACACTACAAGTCCTGGCGTCTTTGACGAGAGCCATTGAATCATGTACTTCAGCGGGTGATTTGGCCACTTTTTCGTCTAAATTGGAAAATGAGAAAAGACAGGTGAGGTCTGACCTGTTCCGCGTATCCAGAGTGGTAAACGTAGAATGCTTCCGGATCTTTGCTGAACAGCTCGTAGGCATCGGACCCGGACATTGTGTACAGCTGCTCGTTGAGATACCTAAAAAAAATTGCGGCTTCAGACACAAAAGTCAACTTTACCTAAATCTTCCGGACTCGAGCTTTTTCAACGCGGCGTCTTTTTCCTCGACAGTTTGCTCGGGCTGGGCGTGAAGTTTCTTCAGCTTCTCACGCTTTTTCGGGCCCTTTCTAAATAAAAATAGAACGCGGACTCCAATACTACCTGGATTTCTTCGTCTTCGCCACTGCATCTGTTGCGGGTGGTGCTGTTTTGACGGGCTCGGTGTCAGTTGACGTCTTTTTGGCTTCCTTCTTCGCCTCTCGTCGTGCCTTGTTTCTCCACGGTCTTTTCTAGAGAAACTTATTATTAAAGCATTTGGAGAAAGTATTACCTTTTTAACACCAGCGTCTGCGGAAATGGGCACCACCACTTTTAGCGCCTTTTTCTTCTTGACAACATCCACCTTCATTGCGCCTGAAAATTTTAGCGTTCAATTTAGCGTTCAAACTTGATACTCAAAATACACGTGACTCGGAAAGGAATGCGCACAAAATACGTGAAAACAATTTTGCGAGCCCGCCGCAATTACATATATAGGGAATAACGAGGATTGCTGTTGAAAAAATTAGAACGAGTGGGGCATTTGATTATATAACAAGTGTTATTTTGACATAAGGAGGGAATAGGAGGTAATAGTTTTAGGTGGCAGAGCCAACGCAGATCAGATCATATCAAAAGCAACGGGTGGCTGGGACCGGCGGTTTGGACATCCGTGCGAAACAGGTGGGTGGCAAAGCTCGTGAAATTGCTTGTGTTCAGCGCCGCGAAGGAGACCAGATTATCGAATCAGCAATCGAAGCGTTGGTGATGCCGCGAACTCGGGGTATTTTGACGGTGGTTATTGAACGGGTTCGGGCGTTTCCAGCGATCGTCGTTGCGTTGCGTTGCGCCACGATCCCGCATCCGTTCGTTGCCTTGTTGATGACGATGTGGGGGCGCGGACTGCGGGTGTCCCCAACTTTGGCGCTGTCCCCAGTTTTGCCGATGGCCTCCGTGGTTATCGTCATAAGAGCGCCGGGGCTGATGATTGTCGTGGCGGGACTGTGGCACGACCCAACCGCCTTGTGGTGGCGGGGGTGGGACTGGCGGGGCGATACGCGCAGGCTGCGTACGCTTCCATTGCTCGTATTTCTGAAAATGTTTGGATTATTGTATGAATGGCTTTCAGGCATTTTCTAGTCGACACTTCGACTCTCAACGACTTAAATCAAGGCGAGACACACCTCGTACTGCGCAGTCCCGTTTTTCGGCTTGACACTTAGAGGCTGGCCGAAGAGACGAATCTCATCGAGCGCCTCAACCGCGAAGAGCACCGACTCGACGTCTTTGAAGACGACGAGGGCGTAGCGGTGGCTCGCTTCGTCTTTCCACACCACTTTCTTCACCGGTCCCATCTGCACGAAGAGCTCTTCGATCAAGTCGGCCGTGCATTTGTCGCTCAGGTTGCTGATGTAGCACATCGCCTCCGGGTCATCCATACTTCCAAAAGTTTTCTAATCAAGGGATGAGTTTTCGGTGTATAGCACAAGCGAACGCAGTCGATTCACGGTTCAACAAAATCAAAAATATCGATGGTCCCACAAAGCCATGAAGGAAAAGAACAACTCTCGGTTCGCAGAAAGGGTTTATTTCATAACAGTAAAATGTTCAAATAACAAAAAATCAACAATATCAGCAAAGGGGCCAGCAAGCAACGGTAAACGTAAAAATTTAACGACGATCGGTCTTGCCCATCTTCCGCTTGCCGGAGAACAAGTGCTTGGGCATGAGGTCGGGGATGTGCCTGGAAAACTGGAATCAAACAAAGAAGTAGATGGTCAACGTACCTGTCTCCTTCTCCCTTCCTGGCGTTCCGGTTCATCGGGCGCTGCGTCTTCTTGACCAACTTGCGGACAGCCTCGCGCTTCTGAAAATTGGGTGGTTGGAGAGGAATTAGAATTCAGATATATTTACATTTTTCAAACGCATCCCGCAAAAGATTATCAGAAGTGCGCCCAAAAAGCAAAAGATCTGGGCTGAGCCGGGGATTGAACCCGGGACCTCTCGCACCCTAAGCGAGAATCATACCACTAGACCACTCAGCCACGGGGGACGGACGCTCGAAAGGGCTTATGGGCGGGTGGAGGGGAGGCATTGGGAGGCGAACAGAAGCGCAGAGAGGGAAGAGAGGGAACACACGTCCCCGCTCCACCCTTCAGGCGCGCTCTTTTTGAGAATGTCTTTTTTCCTAAGGATGCAATTCTTACCAATATAAACAAAGACAGTATTTGTACCCTTTTTTAGCATTCCTAAACGAAAAGCTCTCCAATTTCGTATTAAAAAATCCAGAAATATCGATTTTTCTAGTTTTCATCAAAATTCCTAAGTTTTTTCGCTTGTAGTATATCTCAGTTTTACCAAAAAGTCCATCAAAAATACTTGCTATTAGGTTACAAGCTTCACACTATTAATATTGACTTATAGGAAAAAAATTTGCTTCCCCTCCAGTATATTTGGCAAAAGTGTCAAAGTGACAAATACCTCCGGTTCTGGCAGACCCTGTTCCGGTCGCGGCACGGAGCGGTTGGCCGACAGCGATCGCGATTTTCCGACCTAAAAAATGGGTTTTTTTCTGCCAAGACCTTTGATCCCATACCCTGATCTTCATGGCGCTCGGCGTTCTGCGCGAGTCGGTCTGCAGGTTCTTCATGCGCTTTGCCTTCACCTAAACAGAAAATAGACGATCGACACAAGAAAGCGACCTCCATTCCGAGCTCGCCCAAATCTTGCTCCAACTTGCTCATCGTGCGTTCGCGCTTGCGATGAATTGAGCGAGAGATGTGGTGGGCGGTGCTGTTGACCTTCTTCTCCCAGTTTTCGAGCCTAAAAATAGGGATTGAATGTCGATAGACCAACAGAGACAAATTTGAATAAAGGGATGAAACTCACTTCCTCATATCCTCCTTCTCCTTGATCTTCGTGGCCGTCTTGAGCAGATCCTTGGTCTCCTCGTCATCCGAGTCGAGATCGTCCTCGTATTCTCCAGCCTCGATAAGGCGACGCTCCTCCTCGAGCAGGTAGGCCAGTTTCTACACGAAGGTATTTGCGTGACTAAAAAGTTTTATACCTTTTCGATGTCTACGTCGACAAAGTCGGAAATGTTGTGCCCCTCCCAGACTTCAGGAATGATGTCGTACTTCTCGTCGTCGTTCTTCAGCATGTAGTGCTTCTTGAGGTCGAGGATATAACTAAAAAAATCAGATTTTTGAATAGATAAAAGGGCACTTACTCATCATCCATTTCCAATTCGATTTCACGCTCGAGCTTTCTCGTGCGCTCGTCGCGATGCTCCGCAATGACGTCGCGAGTCGTGCCGCTGCGGGTGTTGATGCGCTTCTTGGCAGCGGATTCTGGGATGAAGGCGGCGCGGACCTAACAAAAAAAAATGTAATGATAAAAATTAAATTATGGCTAAAGCATACGAATAACAAAAAATCATATTAAAAAGTGTCTAGCCAGAATACCTTATCGTCCCGAGGAGTCGGGTAAGCCACGAAAATCTTCGACAGCACCCCATCACCCAAAACGTGCTTCTTGGCCTGCAGTTTCTGCTCGACACGCTGCACGAGAAGTTGATCACAGGCCTGAAGATCATTAATGTTGCCCGGAAAAAGAAATATACCGCATCACGAAGCCCCAACACGCCCTCCTTGGTGATGGTGCTCATTTCGATGAGTGGGATGTTGTCGGCCTCTAGCTTTTTGAGTAGCTCCTCCTTTTCCGGTGGCAGATCGGAGCGTCGACGAACATCGACCTTGTTGAGACCAATGAGCACTGGCTTGTTGACGAAGAGCGGCTTGATCGATTCGAAGAGGCTGATCTGAAATTTAAAAATTAGATAGCGAGGTAATGGCATTTTGGGACTTTCTGTCGGGAAAGGGTAATTTGCAGCCTAAAATCAATTTGGTCATTAAAATTTGCAGTCTTTAGGCTCGAGAATAGTAAAAAAAATTCCTAAAAAAATCCCGTATTTAAAAAAAACCTTGGGCCTAAAGGTAAAACTTCCCCTTCCAGTTATTCACCTGTTCTTCGATGCTGCGATCGCACTGCTCGGACACGTCCATGACGAACAGGACGGCGGCCTTCAAATGGGCGAGCGCGGTGACGGCTTGCATTTCGATGGTGTTGCGGTCCTCGAGCGGGTGGTCCAGGATACCGGGCGTGTCAATGACCTATTCAAGAAGTTAGGAAAGGTTGAGATCACCTACCTGCCAGCGGAGGAACTTGTAATCCAAGTGACCGACGTAGAGGGCCTTGGTGGTGAAGGCGTACGGCTGGACTTCGACATCAGCGCGAGTGACCTAGAAAATTATACGTTAAAATTGCCTTGCCAAAATAAATAATTCTGAATTTTGACAAACGCACGTTGTTGATGAAAGAAGACTTTCCGACGTTCGGGAAGCCGCAAAGAATCAGGGTCCTCGCCCCGGGGTCGATGCTTGGGAGACGCGACAGATGCTGGCGGACCTAAAGCGCATCGTAGACGCATTGATAAGGGGCCCAAACCTGCTCCAGGTACTCGAAAGAACTCTTCTGGCGACGCAACAGCTTGACCATACGACCGAGAGCCGCGCGTTTCAACATTTTACAACGGTACAGCGAGTCACCATACTTCATCAGTCGCACATATTCGCGTGCAATGCTAAAAGGAACAATCGAAAGTACACAGGAGCACAAACCCATCGATCAAGTGTCTGGCGGTGTTCATTTGGCCGAGTGCAATCTTGTAATGGTCACGATCGTAGAGAATGTTCATGAGATCCGAGTAGAAGGGATGTACTTCCTAGATGAAAATTTATAATTTCATCCAAATCCGGAGCACCTCTAGTTTCGGGAACTCATTGATGATCTGTGTGAGCTTGTCGTGAAGCGTCTGCTGGAGGAATTTGATTTTCCTAGAAAAAAAGCTGATGAAACACCGCTAAAACTAACAAAACCTGGCATAAAAAGCGCGTATCCGACCAATCGAATACTGGCGATGGACGACTGTCGGCGTCTTTCTTTGCGTCTTGGACAGGACAACTTCTTTCAGTTCCTAAACGAGCGTTGTAGAGCTTTACTTAAATAAATTACCGCCGCTGTCGGGACAACGGTGATCCGTTTGAAGTTGTACTGGGACGTCATTTTGCCCAAGTCCTGAAAAAGAAAAGTATCGATGTATCACCAGGGGGTTCGAAAGATGAAAAACGAGGTGCATAGGATAGTCCTATAACAAGGGCTTATCGGTTTTAAACGCTAAAGGTTTTAGAAAGGCTTATTATTAGTTTCATAACATAAATAAGTAAATATATCGATTTGAGGGGCCGGGTTGGAAATCAGCAAAAATTCAAAACAGAGTATAGCTCTCAAAGAAGATTAAAGCTTTGCTCACGCCAATTAATTTTCAAAAAGCTTTGTATTAACTTTCAAAGTTTAATAAAATCAAACAAATATCGGTCGGCTTGATTTTTTGGGAAAAATTCGTCGGCCTTCGCTAATTTTCCCCTATGAGGGCACCGGGTGAGGCGTAGAAAGTAGCGTGTTGTACTCGATTTTGAAAGGACCTCCAGTTGCCCAACCTTGGGTAAAATCAGCTGATTTGGGCCCAAAAAGTCAAGCCAAAAGGCCTCAAAATCGACGAAAAACGTAAAAAGGAAAAACTTGAGTTTTTAAAGAGTTAGACCGAGCCGGTAAAATAGATATTTGACCCTACAATTGGCCCTGTTTTTGAAGTCCAAGAATTCGCTTCGACTAAAAGTTGAGCGGAAAAAATTTGCAAATAGTTGTTCTGGCAGAAAAGGCTCTTCGAAGCTTCGGTAGTGACGATTTTGAGTACTGGATTGTTAGCGGGGGGGGGGGGTTACCGAGGGGGAATAATTTTTATTTTTCGCCCATCGTAGCTTTTGTAATAACTAATGATTTTTCTAGTAGTTGACGAATGTTAATAATTGATAAATAATAAATGAGTTTTAGAAAAGCGTCCAAAAATTCCAAAACTTTTACTTTTTGGCGATTTTTCATACATTATTGGCCAAAAAGTCCAAATATTCGAAAATTGTTACCATTTTTTATGAGTTTTTCATATCTAAAAAGCCCTGTAAACGTCTATAAAAATGGTTTTCAATTTTATTATAGGGCCATAGAAAATCACAGGCAAAAAAAATTAGTTTCCCCGCTAAAACTACGCTTCCACCAAGACGCGTTTTTCAAGCTCTAAATTTACATTTACTGGGATTTCGATAAGAGGCTATGATAAATAAATTATAAAATCTTTTGTTTTGAATCCGGAACTTCACCAAGGCGCCGGTCCATCGGCAAAAATAGCCCATTTCCAATACAACCAGCCCGCAAATGGCCGCCCCTAACCAGGTGAATTGCGCCGACTTCGCGAAGCTCGCTGCGGACGAGACGAGCCCGCTGATGCTGGTCGGCAACAATCTGCTGCTGATCCCGCTGCTCATCATCTTGCTGATGCTCTACATGGGGCCGCTGAAGAGGGTTTGTTGACGTTTCGCGTAAAATGTCTGCTATTAGCTGGGGCTGATGCAGACCCCGGCTTTTGGATCTCTGCCGCCTGTTCGCCTACCGGCGTGTAAAGTATACCAAAATGTTTGTCTTGCTTTGGCGAGTATTTTGTTATGCTTTATCACCCCTATAGAACTGGCTTACACCTAAATATACACACGCTGGAACGGTCTTTTTATAACCTCTTTATACTTGAAAAGGCGTTAAAAGCTACATATTGGCTCCTATTTCATAATTGGGGACTTGGCGATAGGCTTTGGCTCTGGCTTAGGCTTAAGTTTGGCTTCGCCTAATTTTGGGCTTGGGCCTCGGATTGACCTGGGCCTAGGTTTAGGCTTGAGCTTAGGCATTGGCTTGTGCTTTGCTTAGGCTTGGGCTTAGGTTAGGCCTTGGCTCGCGCTGAGGTTTAAGCTTAGGCTTAGGCTTAGGCTTGGCTTAGGCTTGGCTTAGGCTTGGCTTAGGCTTGGCTTAGGCTTGGCTTCGGCTTCGGCTTGGGTTTAGGCTTGGGTTTAAGTACTATAACTAGTACTATACTCCTATCAAAATTGCCACTTTTGTAGCTGACCGCCCTGGTGGACCAGCTCGAGAAGAACTTCTGCGTGCTGTGGGATGCGACACTGCAGGTATATCTTTATTCGGAAAGCGGAAATGCGCTGTTTTTAGACAAAGCCGCCACCGCCGATCGTCCGCGCCATCAACGAGGCTGCCCTCGAGGTACGAGATATGTCGTTTCCTAGACTGGGTTTCCTAGGCTTTCCTTACCAAATTTTTGCCGTTTTTATTCGAAAATTGACCATGTTTTTGAAAAACTTGAAGTGCGATAGTGGTGGTTACTTTTACCAGGGTTGAAAAGCCGCTTCGCGACTTTTCAACCCTGGCCCCGTCTGATCCGATGATATTCTGCACTTTGCATATTTTTCACGAATCACCCATGCCGAAAAATGAAAAACATCCCCTTCGGTCCCTTTATATAGGCTTTCGCCACTTCCGGCGCATGCAAATTGTTTCCTAACAAAGAGGGGGACCCGGATTTTCACAAAAACGTAATTTTAATGTCGAAAATAGCACTTTTTGTAAAATTTGATATGTGTGCAGTCGTGTCATGACCATTACACAGCTTTTGGCGTATCAAACATACCCTTAACTTCTTCCCATATCGAGATACGACTGGAACATAATGACGGAAGTTGCATGCAAAGTGGCACACACACACACACAAACACTATCCTACCTTATATAATTTGGTCGCGTATGTGTGTGTGTGTGTGTGGATGTCACTTTCGAGGCCCGATTTGAGGGCCTTCCCGTGCATAAAATGCCCTAATTCTCCGTCACCCGGGGGAATCGACCCTTCTGTTTCCGATGGCGTTCTCAGAATTTCGATAAAATACAAGTTTACAAAGTTAAGGCCGGTTTTATTCATTTTTGGGGATCCCGGAGGGCTAATTTGCATAATGCGAGAAAATACAAATTTCCTCATTCTTGCCAGTTACACTCGCGCGTTTGGCTGCCTCATTGGAGCTGCCTCTCATTGCCTTTGCTCCCCTTTCACGGTAGTCACCTCGGGGCATACAAGGGGTGCTGCGCGCGCGCTCTCAAGCATTTCATGGTATAGCGGTTAGAGCGTCAGCCTGCCAATCTTGCTATCGGGGGTTCGATCCCTGGCTATCGTATTTTTTTTTTGCTTTATGCTCGGAGTACATGTTTCGAAGTGTATTTTGCTGTAGAGAGGCGCTATACTGAAGTCAGTCGCTCTAAACTGCGTCGCAGGCTAACGAATCCAGCTAGGCACTGAAACTAGCGCCGCAGGCTAAAAATTCAGACTAATCCCTCAAGCTAGCGCCGCAGGCTTTAGAACGAAGCTAGCCACACAAGCTAGCGCCGCAGGCTTCAGAATGAAGCTAGCCGCACAAGCTAGCGCCGCAGGCTTCAGAACGAAGCTAGCCGCACAAGCTAGCGCCGCAGGCTTCAAAACGAAGCTAGCCGCACAAGCTGGCGCCGCAGGCTTTAGAATGAAGCTAGCCGCACAAGCTAGCGCCGCAGGCTTTAGAATGAAGCTAGCCGCACAAGCTAGCGCCGCAGGCTTTAGAATGAAGCTAGCCGCACAAGCTAGCGCCGCAGGCTTCAGAACGAAGCTAGCCGCACAAGCTAGCTCCGCAGGCTTTAGAACGAAGCTAGCCGCACAAGCTAGCGCCGCAGGCTTTAGAACGAAGCTAGCCACACAAGCTAGCGCCGCAGGCTTCAGAACGAAGCTAGCCGCACAAGCTAGCGCCGCAGGCTTTAGAATGAAGCTAGCCGCACAAGCTAGCGCCGCAGGCTTCAGAACGAAGCTAGCCGCACAAGCTAGCGCCGCAGGCTTTAGAACGAAGCTAGCCACACAAGCTAGCGCCGCAGGCTTTAGAACGAAGCTAGCCGCACAAGCTAGCGCCGCAGGCTTTAGAATGAAGCTAGCCGCACAAGCTAGCGCCGCAGGCTTCAGAACGAAGCTAGCCGCACAAGCTAGCGCCGCAGGCTTTAGAACGAAGCTAGCCGCACAAGCTAGCGCCGCAGGCTTTAGAACGAAGCTAGCCACACAAGCTAGCGCCGCAGGCTTCAGAACGAAGCTAGCCGCACAAGCTAGCGCCGCAGGCTTTTAGAATGAAGCTAGCCGCACAAGCTAGCGCCGCAGGCTTCAGAACGAAGCTAGCCGCACAAGCTAGCGCCGCAGGCTTTAGAACGAAGCTAGCCACACAAGCTAGCGCCGCAGGCTTTAGAACGAAGCTAGCCGCATGAAGCTAGCGCCGCAGGCTTTAGAATGAAGCTAGCCGCACAAGCTAGCGCCGCAGGCTTCAGAACGAAGCTAGCCGCACAAGCTAGCGCCGCAGGCTTTAGAACGAAGCTAGCCGCACAAGCTAGCGCCGCAGGCTTCAGAACGAAGCTAGCCGCACAAGCTAGCGCCGCAGGCTTTAGAATGAAGCTAGCCGCACAAGCTAGCGCCGCAGGCTTCAGAACGAAGCTAGCCGCACAAGCTAGCGCCGCAGGCTTTAGAACGAAGCTAGCCGCACAAGCTAGCGCCGCAGGCTTCAGAACGAAGCTAGCCGCACAAGCTAGCGCCGCAGGCTTTAGAACGAAGCTAGCCGCACAAGCTAGCGCCGCAGGCTTTAGAACGAAGCTAGCCACACAAGCTAGCGCCGCAGGCTTTAGAACAAAGCTAGCCACACAAGCTAGCGCCGCAGGCTTTAGAACGAAGCTAGCCGCACAAGCTAGCGCCGCAGGCTTTAGAACGAAGCTAGCCACACAAGCTAGCGCCGCAGGCTTCAGAACGAAGCTAGCCGCACAAGCTAGCGCCGCAGGCTTTAGAACGAAGCTAGCCGCACAAGCTAGCGCCGCAGGCTTCAGAACGAAGCTAGCCGCACAAGCTAGCGCCGCAGGCTTTAGAACGAAGCTAGCCGCACAAGCTAGCGCCGCAGGCTTTAGAACGAAGCTAGCCACACAAGCTAGCGCCGCAGGCTTTAGAACGAAGCTAGCCGCACAAGCTAGCGCCGCAGGCTTTAGAACGAAGCTAGCCACACAAGCTAGCGCCGCAGGCTTTAGAATGAAGCTAGCCACACAAGCTAGCGCCGCAGGCTTTAGAACGAAGCTAGCCACACAAGCTAGCGCCGCAGGCTTTAGAATGAAGCTAGCCACACAAGCTAGCGCCGCAGGCTTTAGAACGAAGCTAGCCGCACAAGCTAGCGCCGCAGGCTAAGGAATAAAGCCAACCATTGAAGCTAGCGCCGCAGGCTTAAGGAAGGAGGTAACCGTTCAAATTGCGCCGCAGGCTTAATCTTGAAGCAAGCCGCTCAAGCTGGCGCCACAGGCCAAAAAAGGAGGCTAATCCCTCAGGCTTGGGCCGCAGGATGCGGTAGCGACCTAGCCGATGAAGCATGCGCCGCAGGCCTAATAACGAGACTAGCATTTCAAGCTTGCGCCGCATGTCAATACAAAGAGGTTTGCATGGACGATGGGTTTTTCTTTCTTCAAGGTAACTTTATGTGGAAGGGCGCTCGATTAATAGGGCCTAGACGGGATCCAGCGGGGGAGAGTCGCGAAGCGGCTCCTCCCCCGCTGGTTTTTTTATATAGATTTTTATTTTTCCTGTTTCAGAGCAGCGCCGCCCAGGTGGCCACGAGCGGCTCGGTGATGAAGAAGGTGCAGTAGAAGCGGATGCCCCCTTCTGGCCACATCACCGCCCCCGGCATACAACCTCTCAATTGATCTCGTTCAACGAGTCTCATTCAGCGTTTTCCTCTTTGTTTCTGGCTCAATAAATGTTTCGAAATCGATTTTGTGCTCTCTCTCACTCGCTCTCTCTCGCTCTCTCTCGCTCTTTCTCGCTCTGTCTCTATGTGATACGCCCCCCGGATAATGCGAAAAAACCGGGTTTTCAGTGGTTTACACGCAAAAATCGGGGTACTGGTCTCTTACTGGGGGGTGGTTTCGCAAGGGGCTATTTTTTCCAGTAATCCTGTACGGGGGCATAACAAAATACAAACCGGTTTTATAGCATTTTACACCATTTTTAGATGGAAAAAATCCTAAAACCTGAGAATATTTGCGAAAATTAGGGTTTCTTCCTCAAAAAGGTATGGAAATGATCAAAAAGGTGAAAATTTTAAACATTGTTTAGCAATCACAAAAACCACGAAAACGATGCAAAAATGCACTATCGATCATTAACAGGTTGGTGGGTGTATACGTAAAAATATTGATTTCCCCGCCCCGCTGCCAAACCCTCCCCCCGCTAACAGTCCAGTACCAAGTCCGGAACCGAACGTGTGAGGTTGGTAGGTGTATATGTAAAAATATTGGTTTTGCCCTGTTACCCCCGCTAACAGCCCAGTACCAAAAGCGGAACCGAACGTGCACTTTGCCAAAAATCGGCGCAAACGTCCAAAGATTGGCGCGTGGCCCGGTAAGTGCCCTTGAAATATCAGGTTGGAACGAAAGTTCTGTCGCCGAGATTTTGGAAGGCTGGCTAAATTCGTAGATAGCTCCATTCTGCACATGCGATATGTCATTTTGTAGCTCTCGGCCTGAATGGTTCCGGGAGGAGGGTCCTGGGTCCTCAAAATCAAGAACAGCCGAGATACAGGCGCAAGAAGATTTTTCAAAAACCACGAGAAAGTGTTTTTGCAAGTTATCTCTGCATAGAGATGTTTGCATGCGATACCTTTAACGCCAATCGATAGCTCTCGAGGAGTAGATATCGATAGATGTTGAGATCATCAAATTTGGACACTGGATCGCCGAGATATGGCCTCTTGAAATTTGGCCCATTTCTTAGAACTTTTCTCGATTTCCCATACATTTCCAAACATTTGACGGATAGGTGCCGAAAATTACCGCTTTATTTTTGGACTAGCGGAGTGGATTTTGAAAAAATGTATGGGAAATCGAGAAAAGTTCTAAGAAATGGGCCAAATTTCAAGAGGCCATATCTCGGCGATCCAGTGTCCAAATTTGATGATCTCAACATCTATCGATATCTACTCCTCGAGAGCTATCGATTGGCGTTAAAGGTATCGCATGCAAACATCTCTATGCAGAGATAACTTGCAAAAACACTTTCTCGTGATTTTTGAAAAATCTTCTTGCGCCTGTATCTCGGCTGTTCTTGATTTTGAGGACCCAGGACCCTCCTCCCGGGACCATTCAGGCCGAGAGCTACAAAATGACATATCACATGTGCAGAATGGAGCTATCTACGAATTTAGCCAGCCTTCCAAAATCTCGGCGACAGAACTTTCGTTCCAACCTGATAAGTGGAATTCGTGCAAAAGCGGGGCGTCTTGTTTATCGTGGGGCGGTCGAGGGCCCATCCTGGAAATGGGCAAGCTTTAGGCGGTGAACAGCCAAAGATTGGATTTGTTTTTTTGCTGGGTTGTCGTGCCTATCGTGCTCTAGGGAGTTTTTAAACGATGTTATAAAAAATAATAACTTTTTAAAACTTGAAAGTTGCGGGGTACTTTTGCCTTATCGGGGGGAAGACGAGGTTTATCAAAGCAGCAACCTATTTTTTTGTAAAAGTCTAGAAATACCTATTACAATCACACCATTACCCGATATCCATTTGAACTCTGCATGTTCCCCGCCCGCGCTCTGACTTGCCACCCACCTGGCCCACCTCCACACCACAAGGGCTCGCCCGTCGCTTCAACGACATCGCTTCTGGCCCCTGGCTAAGATCAATTGTGTAGTACAGTTCTTATCGGCTTAATCTCCGATACGTACACTATTGTGTACAACGAGATTAACGTATTTTTGGAAATGGTTCGGTTTGTAGAAGCTTGCTTCTCGCCGGACAGCGTCGTCCCGGCATTGCACTTGCCGTCGGGATCGGCGCACACCCCGCGAGGGGTGAACAATACATAAAAACCACGCAAAGAAACCGTAATGCTTTTATATAGATTTTATAGGTACTCGTGGTTTCTTTTATTCAACGGCCAAAGCTGACATCACCTTTCTGATCTTTAGAATATCTGGAATTTGTTTTCGGTCCACGGTTACCGTAGGCTTTTATGGGCCCATGGAGGTCAAAAACATTTCTCTCTCACTCTTTCTCTCTCTCTCTCTCTCTCTCTCTCTCTCCATCCATCTCACTCTCTCTCTCCATCTCGCTCTCTCTCACTCTCACCTTCTCGCTCTCTCGCTCTCCACAAAAAGGTTGTGTGATCCGGCGGTGCATGGCAGCCGATTTCCGGTGGAATGTCCCTGGGTCGGCAGCAGCCATCCGTAAATTGCTGTCGGGCGGAAGGGGGGCAGAATAACCCGGATCCGCAGGATGTAATCGGTCTCTAGACGGCTTTAATAACCGGAGCGTACTTGGCTGGGGCGGTCATCATCTTCTGAGCCGGGTAAATAAATACGGTGCCGACGGGATTTTTAGTCGACTAAAGCGCTCATTTTTGTCATGTTTGTGAATTGTAAAACTTTTTTGGCAATTTTCTGTCACTTGGTTACGGTATAGCGTGTATTTGTCATCTTTATCGTGGCCCAGCGCATAAATATAGGTCTTAGCAACTCTTATATTAATTCTAGTCGTCTTGGTTTTGCAGGTAGCAAATTTTTTTGCGCTTTTTGGTCGTTTAGGTGACGGTATGCGTGTATCTCTAATGACATTTTTTGCAGAAATTACGATGCCACTTTTTCTTTGTTTATTCATCGAAAATCTAGTTAAAATCAATTTAAATAAAAATGTTAAAAGTTAAGATCTGACCAGCTGTGGTAACCTAACAAGATACGGTAGCCACGTGAAATTTAAGCCAAAAGTTTTTTAAATTCATCTCTACCCCTATCTCTCTCTCTCTCGCTCTCTCTCGCGCTCTCTCTCTCTCTCTCTCTCCCTCGTCTTGCCGCAGCATTTCCTCCATTTTTCCGGAAGTGCTTCTCCACTTCCCTCTAGCAAATAATTTTCCGGGTGCTTGAACGTCCGTGTTCGCTTCGCTACACATCACTCCCAATTCCATGATGTATCCTTTTTCTGCAAATAGGGGTGTCCTGTAGTTGCAGGGCCCTTTAAATCCGGATATCCGCCCCCGCTTCGACACGGATTAGGTGTTCAATATGGCAGGGATATCGTTGTTTTCGTTAAATACTAGGCGGAGTATCAACGCGTATTTTCTAAGAATAACTGTCATTTTTCCGCGGTGCTCTGTTCAGGGGGTACTGTAATTGAAAATTTCCAGTTTACTTTTTTGGGGGGCATTGCCCTCCGCTGACCTCCTTGCTGTCGTCGTGAGGAATTCCGACGCTTCGGACCGTGTTTTTCCTAATATTTTTCTACAGTATCCCTGTTCAAGAGTGCTTTAGAAAGCAAGAAAATATAAATTGGTAATTGTTGGTATTTGGCATTGGTAATTTTGTAAAATTGGAAGTACTGAAAATACTGTGAAGGAGGTACTGGGCTTTTAGCAGGGGAGGTTAGCGAGTGGGTTAGAGTATCATTTTTCGAGGTATTACAAATGTTACCCTTTTGTCATTTTTGATGATTTTTCAACAAAAAATTTTGAAAAATTTACCTATTTTTTGTGATTTTGATCAATTTTTATATTCAAAATCGGTGGTAAATGCCATATATATGGTCTAACAAGGAGTGCCCTTTTAGTGTCATCGGCAAAACCTTTCACGACCTAGCTCATTCGATAGAGAATTGAATTCTGAACAAGCTCCCGTTGTTCGTTTTTGCGGAATGGCTGTCTCCGATTTTATAAAATTAAAAAACTAAAAACAGCATTTTTGGACCTCGATGCTCGCGCCAGCCCCAGAAGCGCCCCCGGGGGAAGAGCCGCTCTGACCTCTCCCCGCCACCAGTAAGCGTGGCGCAGTGGCTAAAAAAACAAACAAATAACAAATAACAAAAGTCGAAAGAAGAATTGTTGCGGTTTGACTTTTGCCTGTAATCGCCTAAAAATTCAAAAAAGTTCGGCTTGGGAGCGGTGTTAGCCACTGCGCCACGCTTACTGGTGGCGGGGAGAGGTCAGAGCGGCTCTTCCCCGGGGGCGCTTCTGGGGCTGGCGCGAGCATCGAGGTCCAAAAATGCTGTTTTTAGTTTTTTAATTTTATAAAATCGGAGACAGCCATTCCGCAAAAACGAACAACGGGAGCTTGTTCAGAATTCAATTCTCTATCGAATGAGCTAGGTCGTGAAAGGTTTTGCCGATGACACTAAAAGGGCACTCCTTGTTAGACCATATATATGGCATTTACCACCGATTTTGAATATAAAAATTGATCAAAATCACAAAAAATAGGTAAATTTTTCAAAATTTTTTGTTGAAAAATCATCAAAAATGACAAAAGGGTAACATTTGTAATACCTCGAAAAATGATACTCTAACCCACTCGCTAACCTCCCCTGCTAAAAGCCCAGTACCTCCTTCACAGTATTTTCAGTACTTCCAATTTTACAAAATTACCAATGCCAAATACCAACAATTACCAATTTATATTTTCTTGTAAAAAATTATATTTAATTTCCATATTTAATGAATCACTTTAAGTATATTTAACGAATTTTATAACGAATCATTTCTGCAGGACGCCGGCTAGATGGTACTGTGGAAAAATAAACGGCCATTTCGAAAAAAAAAGTCGAAAAAAGAATATTTTTAACCAGTTTTTGACCATTGACCTCCTCCTCGTCGTCCTGCAAATTC